CTCATCTAACTATTTTCCTTCTTCTTAGTTAGAGGTTTATATTTTCCTTTGAGTGATAATTAAAGGGTCAGTCAATTATGGTCCAACGTGATCAAATAATATCAAATAAGTCGACCAAATGTGCCATATTAGATACTAAAAAAATGTGCCATATTAATCTCTGTGACTGGGTAACAACAATTAATGACCGAGTGATTAATATATTATAAAACGATAATTTAGTGGCTATTTTATTATTTTTAAAGTACAGCGCTGAAAAAACAATTACTCATGTACTTAATAACCATTTATGTATTTTACTCAAATAAAAACTAAAAAAGAATGTCGGCATAGATAAGTAAACTTACGTGTCGGTTCCATAGACCGGAGCAGCCACTCAGCGATACCAATATCTACGGTGGTTAGTAGAGGGTGTGACGCACTTGCTCTTCAAGCTGACTGCGATCGGCCGATCACACCGCCTAATTCTTTGAAAAGAAGATGGGCTGCATCGGGTCCCACTAAAGCCGGTGATCGTGGGGTAAATGGGATCCCACCTTAACTCCTACCAACAATTTCAGACAAACAAATAAACCTACGATCTAGGATGGATCCAGAAAAGGATTCAACAATCATCTTTTAAAAATTTTAAATTATATACTTTTATTTTTCATAATTTTATATATTTATTTATTCATAAAATTTTAAAAATTCATCCTCTCAAACATAAAATTTATGTCTTTCCTTACTATGATCCCTTTTTAGTGTGCTAACTACAGTTTAGCCTAGTCTTGGATAGGCAATCCGATGCCTTTTGTCTTCACCTTGATTGGAGGTGTAAATAATTACTTGGTCCAACTGAGTTAATTTATTGAAATGTGAGAAAGTTATAGATGTAGGTTAAAAATGTGTTACTCTTTCTACTATTAACCACTTTTCTTTAACACCCTATAACTGTCTATTTTGTTAAAGAGATTGTTTATCGAAATGTAAAAAGTTATAGATGTAGGTTAAAATGTGCTGTTCTTTTTATAATCAACTACTTTTCTCCCACGTGTATGTACATCCCTTTTTTACCAATTAGTATTTGTATTATCGAATAAATATAATTTTAAATTATATTTTGAGTAACCAATATAGGTTAAATATAAAATTTAAAATTTTATCAAAATTTTTAAAAACAAACTAAACTTATTAATGCTAATAAATATCAACTTTTTTATCTTAAATTTTTATTTAGCACTATTGAAAAATTCTACAACGCTACTCGAGCGTGGATGAGTACGGTTAATGATGTGTACCATTAAATTAATTTATAAAATATTGAATTATAAAATACTAAATGTATAATTATAAATTAATTAAAAATCTAAATGTAATTTAATTAAAATATAATATTTATAAAACATCAGTATTTAGGATAAACTACACCATTGACCACCTAATTATTTACCCTTTTTACTTTAACCACCGATTTTCAATTTTGTCAAGCGGGTCACCTAACTATTTAAATATTGTCAATCAAGCCACCTACCGTTAAATATTAACAGAGGAGATGACGTGGCAGTTAATAAAATTTATATAATTACACATTTAGTTCTCATTACTTATAAAAAAAAAAATGGCTGTCCCTTTTTTCCCATATGTATGGGGTAAGGGGGAGGTAAGATAGTAGGCTGCCCCCAACACCAGGTTGAGAGCAGCTTCGTAGGAGACCTCCAAATTATGAAATGCCCTCCGTGGGACTTGATCCCACGACCTCAAGGTTTAGAACCTTGTGCTCTACCAACTGAAATGCCCTCCAAATTTTTCTCATTACTTATACATTCTATTAATTTTACCCTAACTTTTAATTAATTCAATAAATTTAATCCTCAATCAGATGGTGACATGTGTCACTATGTGATTAGATTTTTTCTTAATATTTTTATTTAATTTAATAAATTTTTCATCTAATCAAATGGTGTCACATGTCACCAATTGAATAAATAGAAAATAAATTGGATCAATAACTGTTGTTGATGGGATTTTTACCCAAGACATGAGAATGGGAAGTAAACACCCCAACCACTAGGCTGTAGCATTCAAATGACAAACCTATCATTACATAATATATAGTTAATTGCAATAAAAAAAGGGAAAATTACCTAATATATAAGAACTCCAACATGGAATAATTAATAATACAATAATATATATATATATATATATATAAACACAAAAATATTATAACTTATTAATATTGAATGTATTTTATTTATATTTTAAATCATTTTAATGAAAAAAATAAAAATAAAATAATTTTAATATATTATAATTGAAATATAAAAAAAAGTTTATTTAACTTAGAATTTGATCGACATTATAATATTTTAAAATATAAGATATGATACATTCAGATCAATAAAATTATAATAATGAAGACAATTTATTAATTTAAAATATGTAAAATGATATATTTCAATTATAACATATTAAATTCACTTTTATTTTAATTTTTGCATTAAATGTGTTTTAAAATATAAATAAAACATATTCATTTATTAATCAATTATAATATTTGTTTATATATATATATATATATATATTATATTTTCATAATATTCAATTATTTCATGTTTGAGTCCTTATAAGGTCATTTATTACCATTAACTATATTATAAATTATATATATTATATTCTGTATACTAACAAATTTAGTTGTTCAACTTAGTGGTTAGATTGTTTAGTTTTTCGACTTGCGTCTAAGGTTCAAAACCCACAAGTAGCGGTTAATTTATTTTCCATTCATTCAATTGGTGACACATGACACCACTTGATTGGATGAAAAATTTATTAAATAAAATATGAAAAAATCCAATCACACAGTGACACATGTTACTATCGGATGGAAGATTAAATTTATTGAATTAAATAAAAGTTAGGATCAAATTAGTAGGATGTGTAAGTAATGAGGACTAAATGTATAATTATACAAACTTTATTAACTACCATGTCATCTCCTCCGTTAATATTTAACGATAGGTGGCTTGATTGATAATATTTAAATAGTTAGGTGACCCAATTGACAAAATTTAAAAATTGGTGGTTAAAGTAAAATGGGTAAATAATTAGGTGATCAATGATATATGTTACCTTAAAAACTAATGTTTTGTAAATATTGTATTTTAATTAAATTATATTTAGATTTTTAACTAATTTATAATTATATGTTTAGTATTTTGTAATTTAAAGTTTTATAAATTAATTTAATAGCGCCCATCATCAACCGTGCTCATCTGTGCTCCTCGAGCGTGGTAGCATCATCCAACACTATTTGACTAAAACATAATATACTAATTGATTTATTTATAATATAGTATAAAATTTTAATTTTAAGTGTTATATAATAGTAATAATTTAAATATAAAATTGTATCATAATTTTAATTTACTATATGCAATATTTTATTTTTTTCATAAATTTACCATTTTAAATAAAAAAGAAGATATAAAAAATATGATGAAATAATATCTATCAAATATACTAAAAATTTGCTAGTTTTTTCAATTGGTGATGTAAATATAATTATTTATAATATTAAGTATTAATTTTAATTGATATATAATTGTAATTTTAGCAAGTGACAATTATTAGTTCTCTTGTTTTACATATTACGTCACTCTTTTCTTTTTTTCTTCTTTCAAATTTTGAATAATAACCTTTATATTTTGACATGTTTTTCTATAATCTTGTTGTACGTTTTTTCCATATATTTATAATTGTTTTGGTGCTCGCACAAAGACTCTCACAACATTTATTTTATGATTGATTTATCGATGGCATGTAAAATATTGTTTGTTGATATAATTAGAATTGTGTAGCGAAATAGTTTGCCAAATAAGTTGGTTCGCTAACAACCCATGTATCACTTCATAAAGCGTTTCATTTAATAGAAGCAAGGAATTTATATAACAGTTACTAGGTTCGTTTGATATTGCTATTCATTCTCAATGAAATGTTTAATTTTTTGTATCTTTAGTTTTTTTTTGTATGAGTTTTCTATGACTATTTCCCCATTTTTCTTTCTATGTTTGTATGCGTTATAATTCTGATTTATTATATTATTTTTATTAATGAAATTCAGTTACTATTGTTTAAAAAATAATCGAGTAAAAATAAAAAATCTATTTTAATATTATTATAATTTTATTCAATAATTTGTTGTAATTAATATTATTTTTATTATTATATAAATTTTAGCAGTAAATTAAAATATTTTTTTACTAATATCTATTTAGTAATACAATTAATTATAAAAAGATATTCTTATTTAAAATATTATTTCAATCCGCGTTTTTATATATTATATAAATAAATAGATTATAGATATATGTAAAAATGACTTGATTGTTATAATTAAAAATATTTGTCTTATAAATTATTCATTTGTTGATTTATATAAATTTTTAGCAGTAAATTAAAATATTTTTTTACTAATATCTATTTAGTAATACAATTAATTATAAAAAGATATTCTTATTTAAAATATTATTTCAATCCGCGTTTTTATATATTATATAAATAAATAGATTATAGATATATGTAAAAATGACTTGATTGTTATAATTAAAAATATTTGTCTTATAAATTATTCATTTGTTGATTTAGAAGTGCTAATAGTAACAAGAATTTAATGATTTTTTTATATTGTCACTTTATTTTATATTTTATATTTTTCTACTTATTTAAAGTATAAAAAATACGTCAAGTAACTTTCAATATATTATTATTGTATTAAATTCATCTATTGTTTTCATATTTTTTAAAAAAAAAATCTACTCAAAGCAATGTCAATATTCAACCTACATTTGAAGGGTAATTCAAAGAGGTCAAAATTTCCAAAAGGACAGCAATCAAACATTTTGGTAATTATTGACTTAGCATATTAAGTATGATTTAATTGTTTATTGATATATTTAGCTATTAATCTTAAATAGATATGTAAAGATAGAAGAGTTCTTGAAGTTACATAGAAAACTAAGTGAAGAGCTTCAAAACGCCCCTTTGAGATCGATCAAATCTCACTTTGTTTCTCTCGCCCTCTCTGTCAATCTTTCATCGGAAATCGATCTCATCATTTTCTGAGCTCTTTCAGTTTCAAAGAAGATTCAATGGGTAAACCCTCTGATCCTTTCATCTTATTCTATTTCCCCTTTTATTTTATATATTTTGCTTTACCTTCCTCACTATTTATAGCTTATTCAACGACCCGTTTCTTCCTTTCATTATTCAATTAATTTTGCGTTTTTTAAAAATTACTCTAATGTAACGGGAAAGGAGAGCGTTTGAGCATACAGAGCCGCCTTAATGGTTTTTTCTTCTTATTTTTATTATTTAAAGGGAGATGCGATCTTTTGGGCGTGTAATTTCACGTTTCAATACTGATTTTTATGTTTCGAAAGTTCAGTTTAGTAGTTTAAATCTGAAATTTATTGTGATGCTTGGATCGAGACCAGGGATGAGTTTCATGCTGATTGCATGTTTGGTTGCTGAGAAAGCTTAGTAAAATGAAAACAAAGATCTGGATTTTGAATTATCAGCTGTTAACGCTATGTAGTACCCCAGAATTCTGTATGAAAATTGATAAACACGCTTTGTTTTAATTGAGGTATACTTATTTTTCTTTCCTTGATCAATTGATATGGTGATTTTAATTTGAAAATAATAAGTAAAAATGAATAAGGCAGTATTTTTTTGCCAATAATGAATAGGACAGTTTAGTTCTGTGTATTATGGAAGTTTTCTTCACTTACCTAGACATGTTATGAACATTTCATTTCTCAGCTACAGGCGATGAAAGTTGTTCAATTCAACTTATTGATGGAGATGGTTCATTCAATGATACTGGAATCGAACATTTTATCAAGGAAGTAAAACTTCATGAGTGTGGGCTGTCATACGCTGTGGTTTCCATCATGGGACCGCAAAGTAGTGGTATGCCTTGATATTTTCAATACTTCGGGCTTTATACTTATGCCTTCCCTGTTCCTCAGGTGTTTATTTCTAGTTCACATTAGCATGTTTCATTTATTTACTTTGCATTATGTTCAATGATATTGTAATAGAAATATGTGGGATACAAATAAGAGTATGATAAGCTCGAAGTCTGGCCATGTCAGTTTTCAAAAATGGCATATTTTTCATATCTCATTTTCACATTAACTTGTTACTACAAGATATTGTTGATTTACTGTTGTAGTTAGTGTTATATCCATCTTTCCTTATCGTTATTTTGATTCTGATCCATGCCATGAATGATTTCAATTTTTAGTTGTTTTATCATTTTATGGTAGCTATGCAAGTGCTGCTTAGGTCATTAAAAGTTTCACTTTATTTTCCTTGATCTTGACAGGTAAAAGCACACTGTTAAATCATTTGTTTTACACAAATTTCAGGGAAATGGATGCATTCAAGGGAAGGTAACTTATTATTCTGTAATAGCAAATTGCATTTGTTTCAATTGGTTCAAACAACTAATGGACTGACTGTCTTGTCAGGTCTCAAACCACTAAAGGTATTTGGATGGCAAAATGTGCTGGTCTAGAGCCTTGCACTCTAGTCATGGATTTGGAGGGGACTGATGGAAGAGAACGTGGGGAGGTGCTGTTGCTAGCTTGCGTTTTATCTCTAACATATTTTGTTAAAAATTGAAACTACATTGACTACTTTTGCTTGTAGCTTAAAGATCTTTTCCCCTGATTTTTCAAAGCATAGGGATTCTGGATATTCCTCCTTCCCTGCTTCCATCATCTTTTTGATTTATTAATCCAGTAGGTATTTTCTCTAGGGTTGGCTTTGATGGCAATTATCAACGTTATCCAAAAATTAGAAGTTTCCAATGGCTTTGTAATGCTAATGAATTGTTATTTATAGGAAATAGTTCTAATATTGAATGAATTTCAGTTTTACCTGATGGTAAAATTAAATTAGAAGTCCGTCACCAGTTTTCTAATGTCAACGTTTTAATTCTGAATTTCTATTCTCTCTCTCAGAAAAAGTTCTATTATAGGTGATATTTGGTCCTTAGCATTATTTTCTGACACATGGATTAGTTGATTATATTTGAAATTGGTGAATCAATTTGATCATGATGAAAGAATAAAATTTGATAATTTAATTTGGATTTTTTATTAGAAAAGACTTGGTGATTTTAGATAGAGATCTTGCTGCTCTAATAACATGAAAGAGTGATGGACCTAGTCAAGCAAATCTATAGTGAAATTTAGATGATAAATGTTGAACATGGAGTGGATGGTCTATTTGTGATTTTGTTTGTTGTTTTGATCTGATCTTCCTTTGCTTTATGAAAAAAGGGGAGGATTAGGGTTTCTTTTTGCATCATCTTTTTATTTATTTTTGCATTATTCCAGGATGACACAGCATTTGAGAAACAAAGTGCACTTTTTGCGCTGGCAGTTTCAGATATAGTACTTATAAACATGTAAGGCATGGCACCCACATGGTGCTTGGTGTAGTTTTTTTATTTTCATTTAAGTTAATTTATTTCTTTACTATATGCAAATTGATATTCTAGAGCAACTTTCTTTTAGGTGGTGTCATGACATTGGTCGTGAGCAAGCTGCAAACAAGCCTCTTTTGAAGACTGTATTCCAGGTATTCACCATCTCATTTCCCTTTCTAAGCAATGCCCTGAATTTTGAGTGGTTCTTATCTTTATTTGGTTGCAGATGATGATGCGATTGTTTAGTCCCCGCAAAACGACTTTGATGTTTGTTATCCGTGATAAAACAAGGGTGAGCATTTTGTGCTCGGAGAGCTAGTTTTTTGTTCACCTTTTTCCTTAATATTTTTTAGCCGCTAAGCTTTATATTGTTACCATATTTCACTAAGGATCTTCTACTTTCAATTGAGCCTGTGGTTACTTGTCTTTTTCTTGTTTATAGACACCATTGGAAAATTTAGAACCTGTTCTGAGAGAAGATATTCAGAAGGTACAGACACCATGGTGTCTATGCTTCCTTGCTTTTTTATTTATTTATTAATTCAAGTAATATTTTCTTCTGATATGTTTATCCTTAAATGCAGATATGGGACTCTGTTCCTAAACCGCAGGCACATAAAGAAACTCCATTAAGTGAATTTTTCAATGTATGATTTTGGGTTGTGAGTTAACGCAACATAAATTTGAATGTCTAACATCTCTGTGTACCTTTTCTTTTGAGTATTGCTTCTGACAATTTAATGCTATTGCTGATAATTACCAGGTTGAGGTGGTTGCACTTTCTAGTTATGAAGAAAAGGAGGAGCAATTTAAAGAGCAGGTACTGTTTTAGGTCATCGCAATAGGACAGTATGTATAGCATGCAAACATACTTTCACACTGCTCGGAAGATTTTTAACTGGAAAGAAAGAAGTTGAATATCTACATTTTGTGACATCACCATATTTTTTGTCTGTTGACTCCTGTTCATGCAAATTTGCAGTTTGTCTGAATCTATTATTATTTTTTAAGGTTTCTAATTTGAGACAACGATTCTTCCACTCTATTGCACCGGGGGGGATCGCTGGAGATCGGAGGGGTGTAGTACCTGCTTCAGGGTTCTCTTTTAGTGCACAACAGATCTGGAAAGTCATTAAGGAGAATAAAGACCTTGACCTTCCAGCCCATAAGGCAACCTTTTGGACATCATTATGGCTATAACTTGAATGTAATCCATAAATCTTGTTGATTTTTCTGTTGTCTGTGTTTCATTTTGCTGTAGGTCATGGTGGCTACGGTCCGCTGCGAAGAAATTGCCAATGAGAAGTTTGCTGCTTTTACTGCAAATGAGGTAAATGGAATATTCTTTATATTCTTAAATATGTCCATGCACACACAAATATGCACATTTTTTTCTGGGCTGCTGGTTATTGCTCTAGAAACTGGAACCAACTTATTACATCCCATGACAGAATTGGTGTCTGTTAGAGGAAGCTGTACAGTCTGGTCCAGTTGCTGGATTTGGGAAGAAGCTGAATTCAATTCTATACGAGTCTCTATCAGAGTAAGAATATTTTAATGAGATTAGAATACAAGTTTTGTAGTGTCTTAGTTATAAAAAGGCTGCTACCTACATAGCTGAGCTCACTTGTTCAAAGATCAGTTGAGCATTGAAGAAATTATATAACTGATTAATTCTGTCAAAGTGACTGCAGAATTCTGATGGTAAAGGATCTGTAGGAATGTTGTGATTACTAATTGGCAACCCGATGGCTTGTGGGTCATGATGGTGATCTATGAATATTGAATCATATACATACTGCATTCCCTTGCATACTTCCCATGTCTAACACAGACACCTCTGACACTGAGGGGATTCTTAGCCTTTTTTTCTGGAGTGAGGGGGATTCTTAACCTTTGAATTTGAGTTATTTGAATATAAATGGGCTTTAAAGGTTCAAAGTTTTTACACTCAAAACCAATATTAAAATATTTAAAAGCTACCTTTATATTATTTATATGAAAAAAATTACTCCACTGTGGTGTATAGCCGTACTCTTGTCCTAATATTTCAGAAATTACAGTGTCACCTTGTATGTCTCATGTTGCACCAGAACTGCATGTTCATGCTTCCTAGATGGTGAATTGGTGATAATGATATATTGCTCGAGTGAATAGATCTTCCTTGAGATTTACCTGGTCCAAATAAGAGTCATATCTAATGATGAATTCAAGTTAATTGTTTTTTCTGTACTTATTTTACATAGTTTACTACCATTTATCAGTGACATCGAGTTCATTGTTCTAATTTTAGGTATGATGCAGAGGCCACGTATTTTGATGAAGGCGTCCGATCTGCAAAGCAAAAGCAGCTTGAAGAAAAGCTGCTACAAGTAATAGCAGTAGCTGTATTTGTGTCCAATTTTTCTTGTTATTTGATTTTTCTGAACTTATTTGCTTTCAACTTCTGATGTAGCTTGTCCAACCAGCCCACCAATCCATGCTAGGGCATTTGAGGTCTGGAACTCTTGAAAAATTTAAGGAAGCATTTGAGAAAGCTTTGAATGGAGGGGAGAGGTTTTCTTTGGCTGCTTGCAACTGCACTGAATCTTATATTTCTTTGTTTGATGAAGGATGTGCAGGTATTGTTGAATTTCATGAACCATTCTCTTATCTATAAGCTGGCATAGAAATAAAAGCTACAAAACAGTGATTCAACAGCTATGAAATGGGAAAAAGAATCATTAAAAAAGTTTGTTGGATAATAAATTATTCATAAAAGCAAATTTGAGTTTTTAAACCATTACAATGAATCGACATTTTTGTGATGAGCTTTCATATATTGATTGCATATAGTATGTTTGGTAATATAATTGTCAATGGTGGTACTTTTTGCTCGACAAGGTAGACTGAATACATGTCGAGTTTTTACACTTGCAGATGCTGTTGTTGAGCTAGCAAATTGGGATTGCTCTAAAGTCAGGGATAAGTTACGTCGTGATGTTGATGCACATGTTGCATCAGTCCGAGCTGCCAAACTTTCGGTGCTGACTTCATCATATGAGGTATGGTAACTTATCTCTTTGTCTCTTCTAACCATCTACTCATTTCAAGTTATTGTTCTGGTGATTGACAACAAGTCAGTCTCCAGATTACTCGCTGTTTAGCAATCCTAACCGATGAAAGAATATTATGAAAAGTTACGATGGTGTAACCTAACAAAATTTTAAAGTTTGTGTATCATTTTCAAGTTATAGATTTCTGTGTTGTATATAGTCGAGGACTTCCATAAACTTTCAAAGAATGTGTCATGGTGACACCCACAGCACGTTTATGACAAGTTAAATCACCATGTGGAATCTTACAGATCATTATGCTACATTTGCAGGCGAAGCTGAATGAGGCAATTGCAGGACCCGTTGAAGCACTTTTAGATGGAGCGAATAATGATACATGGCCCTCAATAAAGAAACTTCTCCAGCGTGAAACTGAATCAGCTGTTTCTGGACTCTCCAGTGCTCTTTCTGGTTTTGACATAGATGCAGAAACTAAGGAGAAGATGCTGTCGAGTATACAGGATTATGCAAGAGGTGTGGTTGAAGCAAAAGCAAGAGAAGAAGCTGGAAGGGTATTGATTCGTATGAAGGACAGGTAATAAATATTTCAATGCTTGAGTTGATCGGTTTGATTTGCTAGATAATATACATTATCAATACTGACTCTGAATCTGTACACAGGTTTTCAACATTGTTTAATCACGATTCTGATTCAATGCCACGGGTTTGGACTGGGAAGGAAGATATTCGAGCCATCACTAGAACAGCTCGCTCTGCAGTATGTTTATGTATTATCATTTATTGGATTTTCATAATTATTGTACGATCTATTCTCTTCTAAGCTTGTTTATTATCCGTTGCCAGTCCTTAAAGTTGCTATCTGTTATGGCTGCAATCCGGTTGGATGATAATGTTGATGATATCGAGAATACACTAACTTCTGCCTTGGTGGATACAAAAAATAATGCTGCTGTTACTGACAGGAGCATTACCACGTTTGATCCGTTGGCCTCAAGCACGTGGGAGCAGGTGAAGTCCTGTTCTTGCTGATGTTCTTTATGAGATTTAGTTGAACTATAGAAACTGGATGACCCTCGCATACTCTTTGTTGACATTTGTATGCTCACATGGACTAAAAAATAAAAAGTCATAGTTTGTTTTTGTCTGACAAACGATTTACCATAAAATACCAAATTTGTGTGGCATCACCTAAATGTATAATGCTGAAGCAACAGGGTCTTGATGCATTTTTCTCTTTTGCTGTTATCTTCATCAGTTGAACACCGTCTTTTCCTCCCCATGCCATGCATGATTTATTCTTATGTCTGATTTTGGTGTAGGTTCCACCTGCCAAGACATTGATCACACCTGTTCAGTGCAAATCTTTGTGGCGGCAATTCAGGGCTGAGACAGAGTACAGTGTCACTCAGGCCATATCTGCTCAGGCATGAACTTTTAAATTCTAGTTATTGTGAAGATTTCATTTTCTCTCCTGCCCATCCAATATTGATATGAATTGTTTGCATCAAATTCCAATTCTGGCTATGTGGTAGTCATGAATGTCTTAAGGGGAGCTAGAAAAATAAGTCTATTGGCGTTTTCAATTCATATTACAAGGCTTTAGTTAATGATCATTTATTGCTGCTTGCACCACTGAAATTCTGTTGTATTCCTTTGATTTTGCTCATGTACTGCCAATTTGTAGCATATACATTATTGCTGTCAAGTTTTATTTACCGGAGCTCAGAATAAATATTTTGGCTTAGTTAGACATGTTACCTGAGTTTACTGATTCCTTCTGCTTTCAGGAAGCCAGCAAGCGTAACAACAACTGGATGCCACCTCCATGGGCAATTGTTGCCTTAGTCGTATTGGGATTTAATGAATTCATGACTCTTCTAAGGTGTGGCTTTGAATTAATGTTGATTGGTATTCAATGATATTTGTTGCTTGTGCTTACCTATAGATATCCTCATTGCAGAAATCCTTTGTATCTGGGTGTCATCTTTGTGGGTTACCTTGTCATGAAGGCTCTATGGGTGCAGCTTGACATTTCGGGTGAATTCCGCCGTGGTGTTGTAAGTTTCAAACTAAAGCATTTAATTTAAAAGTGATTAAAAACCTTTTGGGTGTGTAGACTTGAAATTCAAAAGCGGATTTATGAAGAAGTTTTGCTTTGCGCTAAATATAGCTACCAGTCAGAGCTTTGTGCTATTTTTTTATTTTAAATATTCCATTGTTCTCCATATTTGCAGCTCATTTTTTGAAATAATTTGTTATTAAAGTTTGTTTCTCTAGCTGTTTGGATTGAATATCCGAGGCAGTTTTCTGTATCTTACATGACATTCTGTAGTTTTCCGAGCAAATGTGGTTATTTAGTAGAACTTCTTTCACTTCATGATATCATTAACACCTATTAAACGTCCTTTTCCCTTCAAATTACTTCATTGCGATTAATATGTTTCCTCTTTTTTCCTTTTGGCTGAAGATCTAATTTATGGCTATGTATGCTTGCACAGCTTCCTGGGCTTCTTTCAATATCTACCAAGTTCCTCCCCACCGTCATGAACCTTCTCAGAAAGTTAGCGGAGCAGGGGCAAAGTCCGGCAACTAACTATCCCCAGACAAACCCGGGTGCAGAGTCTAAGAGTTTCCAAAGTGGGAGCAGCAGCATGGCATCGAGTGCTTCATCTGGAATAACTGCACCAAGAAATGATATCGAATACTCCAGCTCCTCAAAAGAAGAATGAGCAACTGATCACAGAATTTGGTTCTTTGTGCTTTGAAGATGTACCTGTCGTGTGCTCGCTTTCGTGGTTGGGTGTTTGACACGTACGTTATTTATAGGGCATGAAATCTCTCTCTTCCAAGAATGCGACTGTTAACACTTCTTGAGAAGGCATTTGTTTACGCAAGTGCCGTTATACAAAGGGGGCTTGGCTTTCTTGAAATTGAGCCCCCATTAAATAGCTCCCCCCTTCGGCCTAGTTTTCTTTTTAATATATAATTAGATTTATTGTATGTTGGGTAAGTTATAAAGCCTTATAATATTGTTGCATAGATGATGGGTTTTCGTTATGCTTGGCTTTACTCGCTTTTGTTGTTAATGCGTGCAATTTTAATGGTTCAAATGCGTGTTTTTACCCATTTATTAGAATACTATATAACATAACTATGGTTTTGTTAATTTGCTATGCATGATCCAACTCTGTAAAAAAAAAGAGTAGCAAATGCTGTTGCAAAGTGGCAGCCAAACCTAGAAATTAGCAGATATTGCCTGTGCCTAGTCCACCAATGGGTAAGTACTGTAAACTAAACTAATATTGTATCTATATTTGGGTAATTCCTTGGCTTCCGGTGTGAATCGAAAATTTTAAATCAACCCAAGACATTTTGTCATTATATTAATTATCAAAGTTAATTTATATTATTATAAGATTATTTGTCTTTTTAGTTAATTTATATTATTATAAGATTATTTTTAGTTATTTTATGTTATTTTTAGTTAATATTAAAACTGTAACTAAAAAATGCGAAGAAAATGCCTAATTTATGCTATTTTATTTGTGATACAATAATTTAAGACCAATATTTTGTATTTATAGTTAAATTGTTTGATTATTACAATTAACAACTGGTCTGTAATTGTGTTATCCTAGTAATTAAATAGCATTGACGTCTCTTTATTCAGAATTTAAATCTTGTTTATTCTCTTAATTATAAAAAAATAATAAATCATATACTAAAATTAACGAATATGATTAAGTTGCATGAAAAGTTAGATACAAAGTGTATATGGATAGTTGTACAATGTGAGTGTCAATCTTACATTAGTAGTATTCAAAGGAAACCTATAAACTTAATTATTAAATGCTTTTACGTTGAAAGTTCAATATTTGTTTAGCTTGGTTAATAAACTAGTTCATATATTAAATAATAGGTTTTCGATTTTATCAAACCAGCTTGAATTATTATACAGTAAGTAATTTTATTTAAGTTTCCTTATCCATTTGCTAATAGATTGTTAAAATGAAATATTACAAACCTCACGCAATATATAATTTTTTTATTTTTGAATAAGATAAAATGGCAGTCCCTTGTTCCCATATGTAATGGGATAAGGGGAGGTAAGATAGTAGGCTGCCCCCAATTGAGAGCAGCTTCCGTAGAAGACCTCCGAATTATAAAATGCACTCCGTAAGACTCGATCCCACGACCTCAAGGTTAAGAACTTTGTTCTTCCAACTAAATTTTTACACTGTCCTCTTCCTTTTCTTCCTCCATCATCTACTAGAAATAAAGAACTTAAGGTTACGAGAAAATAATTAGAATATTAATCATAAATATTGCATTAGTTAATTTTTTAAAAAACGAATAAGTATATGATGAGCTGGCTACATCAAAAGGTTTGAATGATGAATATGAAATTAGAGTTTAAATCCAACGGCCAATCAAGGATCTCCTGCTCCGAACCGCGGCGTTCATTTCACCATTAATGACTTGCACCACTCCTTGTTTCAGCGTTTTTAAAAACAGTTGAGAGCTGCATTCCTTGTTGCAGTACAGCAATACCCTTTAATATTTTCTTCTTTTAATCTCATTATAATCTGCGCTGTAATTTTTTGCTTAGCTACCATATATATCTCGTTGTTTTAATATTCATCATCGATCAGCTCTCCTCCACTCTTAAAGCTAAGCTGTATATATATAGTGAGAGTTCAACACACAAAACAAGGCCAACCATTGAGAGCCGCAAAGTGACATTTGTTTGTTTATCAGGAAGAAAATTTAGCAGTTCCTTAGATTTTTTGCTCTGAGTTTGATAAATCTGCTGTTTAGCCTTTCATGGCAGTAAAGCTTTTTTTCTGTTTGATTCTTTGGCTCAACACTCTCTCTCCTCTTCAAGGTTTTCTTTATTTCTCTCTCATTTGCATCTGTTCTTTCTCTTCTCTTTTTCGAATACAATTGGGTTTGATTGATAAATATATATTGCAGGTTGCAGTGATAATCATGAATTCAGATACCCATTCATCTAAAGGTCAAGTTCATTTTGGGCATCATCTTCGTCGTCGTTCTCATCATCAAACACGGATGAAGTATCGTATGATTACATAATCGTCGGAGGTGGCGCGGCAGGGTGTCCCTTGGCTGCCACACTGTCACAGAACTTCAGCGTGTTGCTGTTGGGGAGAGGAGGAGTTCCTTTCTCAAACGCCAATGTCTCCTCCCTCCGCAACTTCCACATTGCGTTGGTCGACACTTCGCCGTCGTCGGCTTCGCAACCCTTCGTTTCCACCGATGTTGTGATCAATGCAAGGGCTAGGATTTTGGGCGGTGGCACTTGCATCAATGCTGGCTTTTACACCAGAGCAAACTCAGAGTAAGTTTCTCCAATTTTTAATGATTGTATCATCCATTTTATTAGGAAATTAAATGTTTTCGTCTAAAGTATAGTGAATTGTATTTTTCCCCCTAAAATAATTATATAAATACAATCTTTTAAAGGTATATATAAATAACCTACTATTCGGTTGATAATAAATAAGTTACGATGGTCCGGTGGCCTAAATTTGATTTAATGAGAGGACGATTAGGTTCATGAAATATCCTAAAATGCAAAATAATAACATTATTAGGGAGTGCCCTACAGGTTTGACTACCTTATTATTCTGTAGTCAACCCACAAGATTTTATGTTACGAGCGAATTTATAAAATTTTAAAAGTACGAAAATATATCATAAATAAAAAATATAAGAAAAAGTATAAGTCATATTCTCTCGAATCATTCCTGGTTACCCAACTAGAGATTAAGCATTGATGTGTGAACTTTGTTGGGTTAATATTGCAGTTTTATTCGGAGAGGGGGTGGGATGAAAGGCTAGTGAATGATTCGTACTCATGGGTGGAGAAGCAAATCGTTCACCGGCCTAAATTAGCACAATGGCAGGGTGCCTTCATTGACAGTCTTTTGGATGTTGGGGTCTCACCTTTTAATGGATTCACCTACGATCACATCTACGGTACTAAAGTTGGAGGTACCCTTGTCGACCACTTCGGCCGTCTCCATAGTGCAGCTGAACTGCTTGTTTCTGAAAACCCCAAAATGATCACTGTCTTGGTTTATGCCACCGTCTAAAAAGTCTTGTTTGATCAAACTGGGAAGACACGAAGGGCAATGGGAGTGGTTTTCAATGATGAAAATGGGGACCAGCATCGGGCATTTCTCGCGAACAATCGGAGTGAAGTGATTTTACCATGTGGTGTAATTGGAACTCCTCAATTGCTAATGCTTAGTGGTATTGGACCAAGGGCTGAACTCTAGATGATGAGCATTTCAATGATTTTGAACAATGAGTTTGTTGGCAAGGGCATGTCTGATAATCTGATGAACTCGGTTTTCTTCCCCAGTAATCAACAGGTGGAACAGTTCCGTATTCAAACCGTAGGCATTACCAAGATGGGAGTTTACATTTGAATCGAGCAGCGGATTTGGACAGTCCCAGGATAGCATTCATTGCCATCATGGAATAATGTCTGCAGAGGTGATCTGAAACTATTGATTAATTCACTATGAAACAATTAAAGTAGGCTTTCTTGCAATGTTGAGTCATAGATTTCATGAATTATGAGTTGGTTTTATCAGAATGCAGGGTTTAATCCTGATCGTTTCTGTCTTTTGTTGTACATAACCAGATCGGCCAACTCTCTACGATTCCTCCAAAGCAAAGAACACCCGAAGCAATCCAAGCTTTCATCAAAAGAAAGAGAGACCTACCACACGAAGCATTCAAGGGAGGTTTCATTTTGGAAAAGATTGCTAGGCCCATTTCCATAGGCCACCTCAACTTGGTCAACACTAACATCGATGATAACCCATCAGTTACCTTCAACTATTTCCGTCACCCACGTGATCTGCAGCGATGCATCGATGGGATCCGCATGGCTGCAAAAGTTATACAATCAAAATATTTCAGACTTCACAAAGTGTGACAAAGCAACTGTAGAGAAGCTTCTTAACATGCGTGTTGAGGCCAACATTAACCTTATACCGAAGAATATTAATGACACCAAATCCCTATAGCAGTTCTGCAAAGACACTGTGATCACAATTTGGCATTACCACGGAGGGTGCCATGTCAGAAAAGTGGTGAACTCTAACTTCAAAGTTCTTGGCACCAACAGACTCCGAATTGTTGTCAATGGCTCCACATTTAGTGAATCAGTGAATCCCCTGGAACTAATCCTCAGGGCACTGTCTTGATGATGGGCAGGTAAGCTTTGAATACACATATGATTGGTTATACCAGCAACAACCATTTTGACAAAAGCTGGTAAACAATCATGATTTTAAGCTCACCTAACCTGGTTTGATTCAATTTTTGCAGGTATATGGGAGTCAATATTTTGAGAAGACTAGGAAAAGCTGGCTCATGTGTATGACTTGAGACCAACTGGTGGCATTTGAAAGATCAGTGTTTGTTTGTAGTAGTGCATAAATGCACGTAGAGATTAGCTTGCCACGGGAAAGTTAACATTTCCATTGCTGTTAATTTATATCATGAACTCATCTTGACTGCGACCCTAATGCCTGGTACCATGGTTGATGTTTTCCGCACTATATAATCAAAGATTTATTTTTCCAAGCGTTGTATCTTATCGTTCTTCTTACATTCTTGAAGCATGATAAAATGATCAGGAAACAACAATAATTAAGAAATGATACTAGTAGTTGAGGATATTAAAGGACTCCTTTAGTTGCAGAAGCTTTTTGCTGTGCCTAAACCAAGCAAACGAAATAAAGTGATCTAGTAACTTGGTATAAAAAGTTAGGTAAGCTCGTGCTGCATTTAAGTGCATGTTCATGTATCAGCTGAAGAGGAATCAATCCAGCTTCCTATTGGTGAATGTGGATGTTAGGTCACAGATAAATGGGTTACGAACAATTCAGGTGAAGTTCACACGTGTTTTCAGCATTACATTTCATAGCACTCAAATCATATCTTTTGATAGCAAAGCTCAAATGATTTTCCAACCTCCACATTTATTGAGGCTTTTGGGCGCAGAAAGTTCTTTTAAATTGTACATATATTAGCAATGTGGGACTTTAACTGCTAACATGAATCATAGGTTGTCAAATTCTCTAACAACATTGTTCTTCTGTACATGACAAGAACTGTAGCTATAGACAACAACTGTTTCAAACAATCATGTCAGTGTTTCATCAAGAATGCCACAATGCATTAATCAATAAACTCATGCCATGAGCTTCTGAATTGATGTCTGATTTGATTCCTCTTATGAATTGTATTCCTAGCATTTTTGAAAACCATAACTCATGTGGTGCTGCATGTAACAGAATAAAGTATAAGTCTGCATTCAGTATATTTCCAGGTTCCTGTTAAAAAAAAAACCAACTCTAATTGTAACTTCAATGAAAAGGGTTTTAACAAAATTCTAACGAGAGCCTCACCAAAATTTGACTGAAAATCCATGCTCACTTCGACTGCCTCTCGATAAACTTCTTATTCTCTGCAAGAAATGCCTTCTCCTTCCTGTTCGGAGAGGGGCCGAACACGAGTGCCTCCTAAACGATCCAGGCTCCTGCACCTCAAGCCCTGGTGGGATGCTCAGAAAATCTGATGCACAAAGTGCTATATTGCTCTCACGGCTATAATCATAGCCAGGTATTGGGTGATAGGTCTCTGAAGTTTCCCCAAGCTCACTTGGAAGTCTACTAAGCTTACTATCTACAGTGGTAGGAAAGTCCTCCTGGATGTCAGCTTTTGATTCTACCTCCATTTTCTCATCAAATTCGTTACATACAAGTTTTAATGCTTGAACAACCTCACCCATGAACGGACGATGAGATACTTCTGGCTGCACGCACATTGATGCAATCGCTGCAACCTTAGTAATGCTATCTACTGAGATATCAGATTTTATGACTGGATCAATGATGGTTTCTAAACCTTCCTTGTCTGTTAGGAGTGGACGAGCCCATGCAACGAGATTTTCTTCACCTGGGGGCTGCAATAAGTCCACAGGTTTCCTCCCTGTTAAGAGCTCAAGTAGGACCACCCCATAACTATAAACATCACTTTTGACAAGAAGGTGACCTGTCATTGCATACTCTGGAGCCAAGTAACTGATAAAGGGAGAAATCAGTAAAAAATATTCTGTATGTAAAAAAGGAAAGAATCAAAGAACAAAAAAGTACCAACATGACTACATTCTAAGCAAATTAGACAGCTGATCATAAATTGAAAAGGATTGACTCAGGAATGATAGTAGAGAAGTTCATACCCAAATGTTCCCATTACATGTGTCGAGATGTATTTGTTCCCTTCATCCATTGCGGTTCTAGCCAATCCAAAATCCGAAACTTTAGGTGTAAAATCATGTTCCAGCAAGATGTTGCTGGATTTGAAGTCTCGATGTATAACCCTGGGACTAGAGTCTTCATGTAAATAAGCTAAGCCTCGAGCAGCACCAAGTGCAATCTTCATTCGGGCACCCCAGTCAAGTGGATTGGTTTCCTTCTCAGCTCCTGGGAGAACATAGATAGAGAATTAAGACAATCTGTAATCTATAACAGTCTAATTACTCACAAATGGAAAACAAGAAAGGGGATTTCACTTATACTGAAGACATTCACCGTGTAAATGGGATTCAAGACTTCCGTTCGGAACAAGTTCGTAGACGAGACAACAAATATTTTCTTCGGCGCAAATACCAATCAATTTAATCAGATTTCTATGATGCAGGCGGCTAAGCATCTCTACTTCTGCCAAGAATTCTTGTCCCCCATGTTGATCTTTCCTCTTCAGAACTTTAACAGCCACTGCAGCTCCCTCATCCAAACTACCTCTATAGACAATGCCAAAACCTCCTTCACCAATCACCCGAGAAGCATCGAAGCTATTTGTTGCTCTTTCTATATCATTCAAGGTGAAGTTCTTTGCCAATCCAGTACATGTCATCACACTGGAACTAATAGATATTGATGCAGCACTGGACTTGCTTCCTTGCGTAACAGCCCTAGCTGACCCTGTCAGATACGAATTTCATGATTTTTCACAAAATGGGGTCTGAGCAAGCCCAAACAATGCTTTGGAAATTTGACTACTGATGAAAGGTTAATAGAATAACAGCAAACAGGAAATTTAAGTTGAACAAGGAAGAAGAAATCTGGAAACAAGCTTGTATATTTGAAAGCCAAATCATGTTCTATGAGAACTGCCGTTTATGAATTTAGTCACAGAGGAAGTACCTGATGGTTTGGGTGGAGAAACTGTTGTAGTTTTCCGTATATTTTCTGGTTCTTTGATGCAAGCTCCGTATTTCCAAACAATAAGCCAAATGATCCCCAAGCATACAACAAAGGCTGAAAAAGATGACAGAATAATCACAGCTATCATGCTTCGTGCAAGGCCTTCTCTCCTCTTGGAACTGTACATTCACAAGTTTTTTATGTATGAATATATATAATATCAATTAGTTTTAATACCGAATAATAACTAATAAGGGCTACCAAGGGAGAGAATTAGACCTTGCTGCCTGTAAGCAGGTTGATGAATTGAATAGGAGGGTCGAGGAGCCAAGTTTCTAAAATGTTTCTTTGCATGATGATGCTTATAAAACCAGATTGAACGTAAGGATGCAGGACCGTGCATCCGATTCTTTCCATGGTATCCAAAAGATGGTGCAGTAGGTGCAACCGAAATTCTTGAAGGCTTCAAGGCATGGTGTGGATGGATGGCTACAAATCAAAGAGAAGAACCTTCATTGATGGTTTTAAGTAGGAAAGTCAATTGTATGATGGTTTCCTTCTCGAAAGATGAAAGATATTCTAGATTATCCAGTCACCTTTAGTTGGAGAGTGATACATTGAAGACGAAGAATGATGGAACACTTTGCTAGAAGGGGAAGCAGCCAAGTTTCCATTTCTAGTCCTGCCAAAGCCGGGAGGAGTTCGTGTCAGAGAGGGCACTGGATCTGTAGCATCATTTTGAAACAGATCCAACCAACATTAATCATTATCGACTATCAAATTATGAGACACTATCAGCAATAACTGTGATGCTATGGAAACACAATTAACTGGAAAGTTTCATTGTCTGTGTCGCTAATGTTTCTTATGAGATCATTAGATGGCACCATGGTCTTTGTATAATATGTGCTTTTTCATATAAATGGGGGATTACAAGGTCGAAGGAACAAAACTTGTATGGAATTTAAGATCCAAGAATAAATCAAACACTTAGTTATGTGCAATCTTAGTCTATCAAAATCCTATTTTCTGACATTCACCTGGATGTGTTGATGGTGGTAGACCTAGCCCGATAGGATGAATGGCTGGTGTTTCTGCAGGCATTCCTATTGGTGGCGGCCATGAACCTCTTACTGCATCAAAAATATCCAGTGGAACCAACAAAAAAGAGAGCCGGATTAAGTAATACATCCATAAGCAAATGCTTGAAGTTAGTAATGTCAATGATGAACTTCACGATGACAATAGTTATATCATGACTGCTCAAACTGCTTCAGTAGTTTATTGCCCTGTTATTGGTGGCGGCCATGAACTCATGATATAATGAGACCCTAAATACCAAACTCAATTGTGGCGGTCATGATTGCTGTCAAGTTTATGAATGATAAACAGTTCGGTTTTCCCAAACATTTCCTTCAAAGATCATGATGGAGTTAATGAACCGCCGCCATGTAGATCAAAGCAATCTATTAGTTTCTGGGTGACAAGTCACCCATCATCATCAATCTCCACGAGCCATGGAATATTCGGACAATTTACCAATGATATAAAACCGTTAGCTTATGATTTTAAGAAATGACCAAGAAGTTTCCCCTTTAACCCATAGATCGCCAGGAAATACTACTTTAGGAATCATGAATGAGAAAAAAACAACATCAAATTCACTCATTTAGGCTTTCTTGGTGATCATGAAATGCAGATTCTGGCTGTTACGTAAGTTCTCCACCGAGCCAATCTCTCAACAAAGCTGAAATGCATGTCATCCTAGTTTTATACCACCGAAACAAGTTTAAATAACCCAGATCTTTAAAATGGATTTTGAGTTCAAGTTTCATGAAAACCTCAATAAAAAATGGCAAACAAATGCATGGATCAAAGATAAACCGCGATTAAAAAATACCAGCTTAGAAGAAAACAGAGATAGACGTCGTCGTTACCTGATGATCCATCAACTGATATATCACAGAGAGTAATACATATAGTGATCAGCAGGAGACTTAATTGAAATTGAAACCCAATTTTTCTTTAAACTTCCAAAAAAGAAAAAGAAAAACTGGAACTCAATCTCCCAGATGTTTCATTTCTCTCAGGCCTCAGCCAACCATCAAAGGAAAAAAAAGATAACAGAAACAAAGCAGTGAAAACTGAAACTACTCCCTGAAGCAAAACATGGGTATATAAGCAAATTATACTACTTTGTTTAAGAGTACAAAAGAAGACCCCACCAACGGTACAACACCAAAGTAAATATCCCAGGGACCAAAAGAACCCCCAGGTAACCAAAAATAAGAAGATTTGACATAAATCTATAATGGAAGAGCAGCTTTTTCCATTACTGACTAAAGGTAACTATGATTATCCCCACACATACACACACCAAAAAGAAGAATAAAAGATCAAGGTTTTACTGGGACTGATCAAAGCAAAAGAAGAAAAAGAGTAGAACGGTGAAGTTAAAGGAGCTTGGTCTAAGACACTTTTCAGTGATAGAGGGAGAATTGTTGGGGTATATTTAGCTGAACTGTGTAACATTCACTGCTTGGACTATTGCAACTTAGAGTAGAAACTTCAGAAGTTATATTATTCATATCCCAGGTATCAAAATATTCCAAAATATCATCTGTTGTTTGTTGGATTAGTAGACTATAGCATTTTGACATTTGTGACTTGGGGTTTAGACTGATTTCCAATGATTCAACCATTTATCTTTAAAGTACTCAAAGCGGTAGTGAGATTGACAAGTATTTCAATAGATTGAGGGAAGATCAACCCCACAGCGGACAATTTAGGCAGAATTAGGTAGTTATTTTGGAAGGCAATGTTGGACACCATCTCCACCGTTGTTTTTACCTAAGAAAAATAAATTCAGTCCTCAATAATGGCAAACTCGAGCAAGAACCAAAGTGCTTCAATGCGTCCGTGAATTGGCTATTATTTAATATAAGCCAACTCAATGGCTCTGCTTGTCATTTTATTGTTAAAATCTACTCTTTGATGGAATTAATTTAGGAATGCAATTGGCAAAAAACTTTTTTAAAAAATATACTCTTTTATTAAATATAAGAATATTAATATTATACAATAACTTTTTTTAAAAAAATATTTGATGGATAGGTTGATAGTTTTCTGATTATTTTATATTCTAAAAGTAAACCTGGAAATGAAAATTAGGGGATTTTATATAATTGAGAAAAGGAGTTTTCGTTATTTATGGTGAGTTGGTTGTTGAATAATGATCCTTAGATAGGGATGTAAAATTGTCTGCTTTCAATAAACTTCGGAAGAGGAATCCTACTCAATTCCGCATGCTAATAACATTAACAACCCATATTCAATAAAGATATTAAAATCTTTCGTTATTTTCTAATGACACTGACACCCAAGATTTTAATTTTATCTTATCCTCATAAAAGATCAGGGGTGGGCCGAATGGAACATCTGAACTTTGATGAGTGCAAAGCATGGGCCAAAATAGATGAGGTCGGCCTATTAATCTCAGGTATTGGCCCATTCTTCCTTCTGAATGCCTACTGCAGAGACTTCACCTTGCTCAGACCAAAAAGTAATTAATTAAACATTGTATTAGCCTATACTTGTATTTTACAACTTTTACAATTTTATTTTAAAATTTAATTTCTTTTGACTAACTATCTACGTTAAATTCTCTCTCTCTCTCTCTATATATATATTACAGAAAACCCCATTTTTTATTTTACATATATATAATTCTCTCGCTCAATCTAATTGTATTATATAAAACTTGAAATGTACTTACATTGCATTCAAAGCATGGTTTTCAGAACCGGACCAGTTAGTGAATCGGTCATGTTACCGGTTCATTGGTTCAACCGGTCGAATCGGTCCGACCGGTCGGAAGAACCGGACGATGTCATAATTATTTAAAAATTAAATAAAAATACCAAAAATATTTAATAAAAAATAATTTTTTATATCACAAGTCATATTCAAAACAAGTCATAACATATATAAGTTAAAAAACCATAAAATCAAGTGAAACAAAATGATTCAAATTAACTACAACATAATATTTAAGGTAAAATATATTAAATAATAAATATAATTATATAACTATAATTAAAAAATAAATTTGAGGTTAAAAAAATCATAACAAAATGATATTGTTTGGTTTAATTTTTTTTAAAAATAATCTCACATGGCTAAGAAACATAGAAGAGCATCCCAAAAGTCTAAAGAGAAAATATAAGAACAAAACAATCTCACATTGCTAAGAAACATAGAAACGCATCACAACTAACTTCTATAAATAATAGAGGTAATTTGGCATTCAAAATCATGGAGCCTTTTGGTGAGCATTGAGTGAACTATTCATTCACTTCAATCAAGCTCGAATTTTAGGCTTCAATCGAGCTTCTAATTTTTTTTTGAGTTCAAGCCTTTTTGAGTTCAAGTTTCAATATTACATTTCGAGTTTGAGTTGAACTTGATAATTTTTAGCTTGTGAGTTTGAGTTGAGTTGAGCTTACTTTTAAAGTTTTCAAGTTCAAGTCGAGCTCAGCAATACTTGAGTTCGACTTGGCTCGTTTAACAAACGACGTTGTTTGGTTTAATTTTTTTTTTTAAAAAAAACAAAAATCCTGGTTTTTTTCGGTTTTCAGTCAGTCCGATTCGAACGGTTCAACGATTCTGACAGGTTCACTAATAGCGGTTCAACCGATTTAGATTGAACCGGACTAAACAACGGTTCCCGATTGAACCGACCGATCCGATCCGATTTTCAAAACAGAGATTCAAAGGGAGAAGGGGGATGTTGTAACACGGTTATTACACTAGTGTACATTATAATATTACAAAGGATGGATGAAGAATTTATTTGCTGGTTTATTATATTTATTCAAAAAGTTTGAGTTGAATTGAAATAAAAATAAATAAATGATTCAGATATCTTAAAACTTGTTATAAAGATCATAAGTATGATATGGCAGTTGTGCTGCAGCTATATGAGGTCTTTGTTTTTCATGTTTGAGAGTGAGCATGTGGCCTCCGTGGTAAATGAATTGTTCTTATTTCCAGAGGATACGGATTTGAGCACCATAAATGTCAAGGGTGTGAATTGAGCATTCAATGTCTAGAGATTAAGAGTTTATCTTTAAACATATATTGTCTTGTATTTACTCCACATTGATAAAGAGAGAGAGAGAGAGAGCATGTAAGAGCACATTTTTTCATTTGAGGGATGTGTACTTGCGATTTTTTTTACTTGGTATTTATTTTCTCTGTAGTAAAGGATATGATCATTAACGGTTGTATAACAATAAGACCGTAATTGTTCTTTTAATGTAATTCTATAGAATGTATTTAAATCCTTTGTTGTACGTAAGATTTTTTTGTTGATAAATTATTTTTTAAATAAGAGATTGTAAATATAAATTAAGTTTAAATTAATAATTCTAATGGTAATAACATCTCTAGAAAGGATTGAAATAAAAAAATATATGCTTTAAGAATTATATATATATATATATAGACTCTCTTTTTTTTCTTTTACATTACAAATTGAAGGAAGGAATTAATATCCAAGGTTGAACTTTAGATCTTATCTTCATATTTTGATTATGTGTGTAAATTCTTAGGTCGACCTAAAATAAAGATTAGGTAACACGGGAACGTCTGTAATGCTTTCCCAAAATAAATTTGCAATAATTGAGCATTGACTTTCATTAACACGGTTTTAACTCACTTCACAAATGTATCTTTAATTTCCTTTCAAACAACACGCTATTAATTTATTTCTTTATTAGGTGTCATCTTTGGTGTCTTGGCATTGCTTAATCACCCTCTCTCTCTCTTTGCAATTTCTAACATTGTTTTGAAAATCGGACTAGATCGATCAGTTCAACCGGGAATCGTTGCCTGGTCCGGTCCATTATACCCCGGTTGAACCGATTCTAGTAAATCGCAAGGAACCGTTCGAACCGGTTTTGAACCGGTCGAATCGGACCGGATCATGAATCGGTTCAACCTAAATTTTTTTATTTAATTCTTTAAATAATTATGATGTCGTCCGGTTCTTACAACCGGTCTGACCGATTCGACCGGTTAAACCAGTGAATCGATAGCATGACCGGTTCGCTGACCGATCTGGTTCTGAAAACCATGATTTCTAACTTTACGCATGTCACGTAGATTTATTTCAGAATATACTTTTCCTGTCTCTTTCGATAATATGATACTTCTCGGTATAAATTTGTTTCAAATTTAGTTAGTAAGATTATGCTTTATTCAAATATATTAAATAAAAAACCTTTTTAAGTATATTCAATTATTGATCGATTAATTTAGATCAAATATTGTATAGATATAAAAATAATTAGTAAAATTAATTCTTTATATCAGTGTGAGAAACCTCAAGTGAAAACTCATATAACGCTAGTTAATTTCTTAACAAATTTGAGTTTTTATTTGGACAACCTTACAAAATAAATTTATGAAAAATTTGAAAATGTCGACTATAAGATAATCTCTCTTGCTCGATCTTAGGGCTCGGTCAAAAAACATTGACACGTGTTGAATATTATATCCTCTATTCATTTAAAACCCTCGATTTGTAACGAAAGGAAAACTTCTTTTACCGAATATTATTTATCTTTTTTGAAATGTTATTAAATTATCTTTTTTGATTTTTTTAAAAAGTATTATTTAAAACCACTAAAATAATTAAAAATGAAATTTATTTACAGTTAAAAAGCTAAATGAGATATTATTTATTAAATTTAATATATTATCTCATTCTTAACCATAATTAAGGACACAATATTATTAAGAATACAATATCTAAAATGATATTTTTGCCCTTACCATCAAATTATAGCTGTCTTAGTGGGGGGTCATTTTCATATTTTAGAAGGCTAATCACACAACATTCTTCTGAATTATTATATAAGTTCGATAATGATTATGACGAGGTCTCTGCTCCTATAATTTGGAATTCTTATTCCAGCTGATCAAAAATAAATAAAACACTAATAATATTAAATCAAACTCAAAATTAAGAGTTTATGGCTAACAGATCTCTAACTCAACTCATGATTGTAAAGTCGCACAAAAACTTAGCTACTACTACGTGTTAATACACGCTACCTAAACAAGCGCGTCGGTATAACGTTTTATTGGGTTTTAGTTGCGGCATAGCTGTCACTCCCAACTTACCCTTATCGTAATGTATCCCGACCGAACACATTTTCCTCTGGTTAGCTTAAGTCCAAAACAATCAACTTTCTCTCCCAAAAAACACGCGCTGACACGCACGCACTTTCTTAGGAGCAAAAGGGCAGAACAGTAAACTATTGTCACTTTGAAGTTTAAATAGCAGAAGAAATCAACAACTTTTTCAGTTCTCTCCTTTCTTTACTACACCAGGCCACCACCGGTCCACCATGGCAGACAAGGTTTACCCTTCATCGAAACAAGCCACAAATGGCACCGCACCCGCCGCCGCCACTGCAACGAATCCTTCGTTTCCCGCCACTAAAGCACAACTCTACGGAGCCTCCCGCCCTCCCTACAGTCCACAACCAAATCGCCATCGCTACCGCCGCTCCTGCTGTTGTTCTTGCTGCATCTGGACCACCACAGCTATCCTCGTCCTCGTCCTCCTAGCCGCCATAGTTGGTGCTATCTTATACGTCCTTTACCGCCCTCACCGTCCCACTTTCACAGTTTCCTCCCTCAAAGTCTCAACCCTTAATATAACCTCAGCTTCCCACCTGATCACCAACATCAACCTCAACGTTGAAGCCAAAAACCCTAACAAGAAACTCGTATACATTTACGATCCCACCGCCATATCTATTACCACAAACGACGACATCGATATTGGGGATGGATCTTTCGGTTCTTTCGTGCAAGGGACTAAAAACACTACCCTTTTGAAAGCTGCCATAACTAGTAGCAAGCAAGCGCTCGATGACACGTCGGCTGGCAATTTAAATACCGCTTTGAAGAACAAGAACGGGATGCCATTGAAGATAAAGCTCGATACTAAAGTGAAAGCAAAGATGGGAGCATTGAAGACACCAAAGCTTCGGATTAGGGTAACCTGTGAAGGGATTAAAGTCACTGTTCCGAAGGGGAAAACAGAAACCACGGCTTCAGCTTCTAATGCGAAGTGTAAGGTTGATCTGAAGCTCAAGATCTGGAAATGGACTTTCTGATCGATGTGAATTTGAGAAACACAAGGAATGGACAAGAACAGGTTTGATGTTTATTTTATTTTCTGTCTGCTTTTTACCTTTTATTAAGCTTTGAGTTATTTTTTTTTGGGATGATACTGTTTTGTGCAAATTAGATGATTGTATAGGATATAGAAAATTGTAACATATACACTCTCTTCTTCTTTTTTAATATTTTTTTGGCTTTTCCATTTCGTTACTAGTCCTTGTTCATTAGTGTACAATTTCTCTTTCCAATAGTGTAAATAAAGCCTATCTTTTTACACAATAATTTTGTGCATACTTTATTACAATTGACACATGAAATCAATATAACGATAATATATTAATATTTCATTTTATTAAGACCGATGAACATAAAAAATCAAACAAATACTCATATGGTAGTGGGATTCGTCATCTCATTCTAGACCACCACTCTCGATGTAAATTTAAAATTTTATATTAGAAATTTAAGGCATGTAAAAAAAAAACTAAAACTATAAAATTACATTATCAATAAAAAGTATAAATAATATATTTAAACTATAAAGAAATTTAAATTTTTTGAAGATACGACCGCATTTAACTTCTTTATAGGGATAAAATCGAATCGTCAGGAAAAATCGAAAACCGAATTAAACGGGTCGGGTTCGGGATGATAAACGGAGATGGGAAAAAACGAATTTTTTAAACGGGGACAGTTTGGTAATCCCGTCCCGATTATCCGAATACCCGGTCATAAATATAAAAATATTATTATATATATAATCTTAATAAATTTAATTTAAATTAAAAAATATATAAAGGGTTATTTAAACGGTAACGGGATCCCCGCAGTGAAAAATAACCATCTAAGGTAAACGGGTAATTTTCACTGCGGTTATCCCCGTAGTGAAAATTACCCGTTTAAATAATCGTTTATGTTAAACGAGACTGTTTTCCCCGCGGTTTTCCTCGATTACCCGATGAAGATCCCCGTTTAAATTCTCGCGATTTTTTAAGTGGGAACAGGTACGAATTTTTTAAACGAAAACGAGACCGCTACTCAAAATATTCATCGAACGATGGAAAACCATCGCCGTGGAAAGTGGCGTCAAACCCCTTTCAAAACCTTTTGATCATGGGGATGGGCAACACCATGGGATGCTTGATAAGGGCCTTACCAAATAGGGATGACAACGGGCGGGTCGAGTGCGGATATCCCCTCCCTCATCTCCATATCACCTAATATTTTTTAATCCATCATCCGCCCACCACCCATGATGGGTACAAATTTTCAAATTCACACCCGTTCACGCGGGTACATTCTCAAATTCATCCCCACACCCACTATCCACTAGCGACGTATCCGTCTAGACCCGCCTGACAGCAAACTTAAGTTATACATAAGCCACAAATATAAAAAAAATATGTCCATTAAGAAACATAATAAAATAATCCAAGGATTATCTAAGTTAAGTGTTAATATAGATCTTAAAATACGTAAAACGCCATAATAAAAGACATAATTAAAGTCTAGAAACATAAATGACAAACACATAATATTTTTGTTCTTTGACACAATATTCTAAAATTTCAGGCAATATTTGTGACATATAATATTCCAGTATTACAATCATCATTCTCTATTTCCTCCAACTGAAAGCGCTCCAATTTAAATTCACTACCACCTACATATATAATAGAAAATAAAACTAATATAAGTTAGTAACTAAACTTTAATAAGATAATTAAGCACAATTTGACAATAATATAAACTAAATAATAATATTATCTTTAATATCTGCCCAAATTAATTTTGAGCATACATTAATGCTTCAATCATCTCCGAAAGTATTCGACTACGATAAGGACCAATTACTCTTCCACCTATACTGAATGCAGATTTTGATGGGACAATGGAGAAAGGAATGCCCAAAATATCATTTGCTATTTGTTGGATAGTTGGATAAATTACATGTTATATCTTATACAATATTAGAATTTATAAATTAGTATCTAAAATTACACCTAAATTCAATGGTCCAAAATTTAATTGATATTTAGCTGGGCGGCGGATGTGGGGCGGTAATGTCTCAAACCTATTACCCGCCCACCACACGCGACAGGTACAACTTTCTAAATCCACACCCGCCCACTACCCGTTAAAATTATACCTATCCCCGCCCAATTGGAACGGATACGGTGCGAAATCCACAAAATTATACCCGTTTTCCATCCCTATTACCAAAGTTGAATATTTTGAATTGTTTATAATTAATGTGTTTAAGACTTAATTTTTATTTTAGGCTTAATAGACAAGTTGTATAGAAAACAAAGATTATAGTTTGAAGGACGTACGCGTTAGATGGTCCAGCAGACGAACCGAGTCAGTAAGAAAACAGGAATTTCTATGTGCATAGGGTTAAAATTGCTACTTTATTTCAAAAATTAAAAAAATATACATAAAGGTTGCTAATTTCGTATTTTTTATTACTTAAATTTTATTTTTTTGCAACCTAACACCTTGATCGAATTGACAATATAATGCCAACTACCAACCCTTCTACTACACCAAATTAATTTACCATTTTAATCTTAATATAACAAATACCCGATCAATAATGTAATACCTACTAAAAATATATTTACATGTCATTGAAAATTTCACTCACTCACTATAAATAAATTATCAGTTGAATTTATATTATTGTTGGGATATGATAAAGAAAATCCTCTGAACGTGCAGGCCCCAGAGCTCAACAGTAACGATATTCATAGCTCTGTAACATGATAAACAGCACCAACAAGTCATGAATCCGAGATTGCATTTCAACATAGTCTCCTTTGAAAGGAAATTCTGATGAAATAACAAGGTAAATAAGAATGAGAGTTTTCCGCTTGCTGAACAAAGAGATGAAACCGGTATACATCTATGACTACGAGATCTTCGGGCTTTCCTTCTGGTCTTTCACAGAAGGCTATTCACCTGTCACTTGAATATAGAAGCTAAAGTGAGTTATCGAATAAGAAAAACCAGAATAAACTACATACAAAGAAAAGTGGAAGAAAGAAATTCTACGACAGGTTAAGTGCAAAAAACATACGAATCTAACTCAACAGCTCTAGAACAGCAGTGAACAACTTCACAATCTGCTACGAGGGTTTTCAAAGACAATAGAATAAGAATTCATATTCGTTCTCTTTGAAACTAACGCTCTTAAAGAAACCTGCACTGTAGATGACTGGTATAATACCAATACAATGTTTGAGCTGTAAACAGTGTAACCCCAGCGAATAGATTTCCAAGAGGCCAAAGTTGCATTATCGATGCAACATAATAGAGTGTAAAGTTTGATAACAGAGGCTCTCAGATAGAGAAAAACTGCTCAACAAGGTCCAGATTTCCAGTTCTATTACCCAAAAACTTGTATGAGGTTTGATTCATTTTGCTTTCTTGTGCTTGCGTGAGATAGATAATGGTTTGTACATAATTGTTGCCCATATAATATCCATTCTCAAACTACTTATCCTCACCTAATCTTGATATCTTAAACTCTATAACAACATAGGTGACATTCTACTGCTAATCCTAAGTCAAAGGGTTGACTAAGAATTCGAGCCATATATGCATGGTTTCACAAAACCATATCATTCTTCTGATCTGTGCACTTTTTTTACTTATTTTAGACAAAGTGACAAACTACAAAAAGGCAATGCAAAATTGCTTATCTGAATCAAGATTCTTTATGAAAAAGCCTCACTCAAATTGGACATTAAACTGATATGTTAAAATTAAACAGCACAAACTGCGACCATTATTGAAAATATTTATCATATTGTTCACTATTCATTTTTTTACCTGTGCCTAGTAAAGTGAGAAGTGGCTATGGCTCAGTCTTCACAAGGTCTTCCACAGAGCTTCGGTAAGTGGCTATCAGATCCCTAGAACCGGAAGAATATCAAATGAACACGCATTCAACAAGTAGAAAATTTGCAGAAAACACAATTTGACCAATAACTAACCTCCTTTGGTTTAGCAATTGTTCACTTTCCTCCAGCTTTTTCTTTTGCCCTTCAACAGTCTGTATCCAGACATACCGAAAATTCTCGAGTTATACAGAGAACTTTCAACAACAATAGAAGTTAAAAAAACATTGATTCTAATAAGTCAACAAGTTTTAAGAATCTATCATCACTGATAAAGGATACACATTTTCTAAAAATGATAGAAAAATGAATTTTTAATATATTTTGCAGAAGCTTGAATCTCCTTTAAACTCTTGCATCCACATCTCATAACAAATGAATCAGAAGATACGAATTAAATAACCAAGACAAGAAGAGTAGATAATTTACCATAGCTTTAGAATTAAGTGATGCAGCAATCGAATTCAAAAGCTGCTGGCACTTCTCAAAGTGATTGTTCAGTTCATTAATCTTATCAAACCCCAGCAAAAAGCAAAAATAGAAAGAATCAATAACCTTCAAAATAGACACTAAAACCAATCTTAAAATTGGAAAAGAAAGAAACCCAACAAACCAACGCATCGGAGTGTTGATCCCGGGTTCCATTATCAATCGCATCAGCCAAATTCTCCACCAACTGTAAACCCCACATACAGACACACACAATAAATAAATAAGTAAATAAATAAAAAGAAGCAAAAAGGCAGTTAAATAACTTTGTTAAGGTCGTGGTCTTGAAGGATTACATGTAAGAGATGGAAGTGGGAAGCAAGTGACTGATGTTGCTGATTCTGCTGCACTTGCTGCTGCTGCTGCTGTAACATACGCTGTTGTTGTTGTTGTTGGAATTGTTGTGGATGAAATTGTTGCTGCTGATGTTGTTGTTGTGATGGTGAAGGAGAGGAGAGGTATAGATGGTCTTGATTTGAGGGAGTAGATACGTTACTGTGAGTTGGGATGCTGGGGATCATATTCCAGCTTCCCCCTCCTGAATAGGGATCCATCGTCGTCTTTTTCTCTCGCTTCTTTTCTTTCCCTTTGCAGGCGGCGCACAGTTAGACGGTGATATAAGCGTCATTGCCAGTGTACGCATTTCATCCAATAACATTCTGCCACGTTTGGTAGGAAAATGAGAAACGTGTCGTTAAAATAAACATTTTTCCCCTTGTATAAGAAAAACATACCTCATTTTTTATTATTATTTTGATTAAAAACAGACCTCATTAGTATATATATTTATTACGATCTTCTTCATTTCTCTTATTACACTCCAAGCTATTGGCAAAAGGACTCGGTCGAAAAGAGTTTTCTCTGTAAATTTTAAGGTTCGGTTTCTCCTTTATATTGTCTGGCCTATTATATGATCTGGGATTCTTTCTGTTTTTTAGTTACTTTTATTGCTCTTTGACCTAAAGTTTGATAACGAAGACGTAACGGAAGTGGGGTAAAATGTAAACTTCTTTGCCTGGGTTGGGGATAGGAGGGCGTTACAGTTGATTTGATTTTGGGAAAATGGATTCTTAGCAGGAACTGCTTTTCTCCTTCGGGATCAAATTATATATTTTTCCAGGATTTGTGGTCATTATGAAAGATTAAGTAATAGCTTGTTGTTCTTGCAGAAAGTTCATAGGGAGAAAAGGTGGATTTTAGTTTTGTGGTTTAGATTGATTTGATTCTTTTTTCAGATTGTTGAAAATTGCCTGTGAGAATTGGAAATCCTAAATGGTGTTTTGTTAACATTATGAAAAATGATATATATATATATATATATATATATAGAGAGAGAGAGAGAGAGAGATGTTAACCATTTTGAACTTGCTATAGGGTTTTGCCTTTCAGTGCTTTCAAGGATGTAGAACTGATTGTGGAATAGGTTAAAAATGAAGGATTCCAAGAGATTTTTCCTATATGGGATGATTGTTTCATATTCAGTTATGCTTGTAACTTTGCTGAATGCTTAGTCCTATGGATCAGAAAATGGAAGAGGAGGAAGCTGCTCATATTTATTTGTTACCACTTATCCGTAGATTAGTAGGTTTTCTGTGTTTATTAGTCAACAAAATGCTTGTGTTTCCAACACTTACAAAGAACAGTAACTTTGATCTCTCATGGTATAAGACGACAAAGTGATGCCGGAGCTTTTACTATTATGTTATTTTATTATATTAGTCTTATTAATTAATTAGCAGACATATAGATAGATGGCTAGGATTATAGGATATCTGGGTTACATCTAGGATTAGGATTGAAACTTTGCTTGCAAGAAAGCAGACCTGTATAAATAAGTTGTAGGCTTTACGGCCAAAATAATTCTTATTATTTTTCTTTGAATTATTAGAAAGAAACTAGGGGTTTTTATAACCCTAAATTTTCTTGAGTTTCATCTTCTTTCCCATTCCTATTCCTGTCATAATTTTACTGTTCTATTGCTGATTTCCTTCTTAGCCACATCACAAAGGCTTCCCTATGTTATGAATCTGTAACTATTGGTCATATGGTCTACTTGATCTTGTAGTTTAATTTTTCAACAAAGATGACATGACTTGTTGTCTAGAATTGAAGTGCTTTAGATGTGAGTTGAACTAGAATTGTACTAAGATGAAACGGACGCAAGATTTTATGTTAGGAGATGCGAACTTATAAAATCTTAAGTAGGGAAGAACTTATAAAATTTGGGGGGGCGAAAACATAATTTCTATAGAAAATATAAAGAAAATATTTAAAATATATAGAAATTTAAATTTTTATGGGGGCGACCACCCCACCCGCCCCCCTAGGTCCATCTCTGAATGTTTGCATCTACGAATTGTTGATCATCAAGTTCAACAATATGGCAGGTTACGTCAGTCATATGGCTTATTTGGTCTCAATAAGCATTACTAAGTTTAAAATCTGTAATCTAACGAACCAATCCAGGATACATTGATGTTTTAACTCTGTTGAGCTTTAGCTTTAGTTGATGTTTGGAGCGGGAATGTGTAAATCTTTGGTTAAAATTTCCAGCTAAAAAAGGAAACAGAAGTAAAAGATTCAACTCCGTTAGGTATTTAGGCAACCAAACAGAAATTCTGTGATGAGCTACAGGATGTTTGTCTACCATTTTTTTTACATGGGTCAATTCTTTTGCATTTTTAATCATTTCATTCATAAAAGGAAGAAAACATCGAAGTTTTATAGTTTAGGTTTACTGAATTTATTGACAATTTTGATGTGTATATTTGTTCGAATGAGAGAATAGACATTTGAATTTTTGTAATAATGGAGAAATTGCAGATTCTTCGATAAAAAAAATGGCCGTGAAACCAACAGCAGCATTGAGGGCTTTTCTTTTTGGAGGGATAGCTGTTTTTGCTAAAGTAGCCGGGGCAATGAAGGCTGCCGGTGGTGCTAAGCTGGGTGCTGCTGCAGCTGCCATGACCGTGGCAACATCTGCTGTTATGACAGGATCGAAACAGGACCCAAGAGATGGATCTAGGCAACCTCCAAAATGATATGCCTTCTCTTTCTTTCTTTCTTTCAGCAGCTTGTAGACGTTGCTCACAGGGAGCTTGTCAAGAGCAGATGGCCGTGCTTGGCATTCCATTTCTGGTCATTACCGAGATTTCTTTTGAAATCACTTGAAATAAGAAAAGCCAACACTTCTTATTTGAATTAAGCAGAAGATGGTATGTTGCTATTCAAGTACAAATGTGAACGTTTCTCTTTACATTCTTAAGCATTAAAGTACAGTTGTTTTATTTGAAGTTGTCTTTTTGGCTCACTTGCATACACCCAAACGCACATTCCCTCCGGAAAATAGAAACATTCTCAAGTAGATCCAGCATTAATTGATTGCTGTAATGCTCAGCTCTGCCATCCCCCATTTTGCCAAACTGGTGTTTCAGTCGGTGCCATTAAAGTTGATGCACACTCGCTTTTCTTGGACCACAAGAGAAATCTGGTTGATCAACCGAATCTACCACAAGCTCAGGGTTCGGTGATTCTAACTCAAATATCACCTACAAAATGATGAACCAAACCATCATGGAAGAAAATTTCATTGAGATTGAAAATATACAACCATTCCATAAATTACAGAGGCATTTCATACCAAAACATTTTCCCCGTGCTGAAGGATTGGAGCAGGGATATAAAGGCTGCATTGTGGTCCTGATGTCTGCAAAAAAAAAAAAAGTATCGCTTTTATTTTCAGAGTAGTTCCCTTCATGCCCAGAGGAAATATTCGCAAATGACATATAATTAACAGCATGCCAGGCCTAGAAAGAAATTAAACCATCTTACCGGCCAATATCTTCCAATGTTGAATTCATTAACGAAAACAATCCCTTTCCCCCACCCTCTAAGTGAAATGTATGTATCAGTAACTTCAGTCGTTGTATCAATAGAGAAATGGCCGCTGTAGAACGATGGCCCTTCTAAAACACCCTCTGCTTTAGGGAAAGCAAGTCTTTACGATATCATCATTTTTGCACATCATATATTGTTTCTTCATTAGATTGTAGATTGCAATTAGGTATAAAGAAGGAAAGTGTAAGATGAGTAAGAAACTACGCAGAAATTGATAGTAGAATTGTACAGAGTACAAACATTTGATACAGATATTTTTTGTGTTCATGAAACATACCTGACTTGTGTTCTAGTTTTTCACGGGAAGATACTTCATGGAATTTGAACGCAATCTGAATGATGGGATGGAATTTTGGCACCTCGTTCAGGTTATGGAAAGGAATTGAGATCATTTTCCATCTTGTCAAAACTCTCCCATCAACATAAACAGGAGACAAAATACCCTACAAAATTAGAGTAAAGAACAATCATCTGTTAGGCTACCATCGTTGCGTGGTTTTGGTTCCTTTCCTTACCGCTGTTTCACGGTAAAGTGGATCTAAAAGAACAGTTATCATTGATCAACTAGCTTATCAAGTTTCCCTGACAGAGGAGAATTACATTTTAAATATCTTTCCCTTCTAGTAAGCAATGGATTGATGTCATGCAGGCTAGCGATTACATAAGTATATCTTTCGAATCTACTAGCAACGGAGCAAAATTCTAATGAATGGCGATGTATGAGGATTTGAGTGATGCCAATAAATAAAAATGACTAATGACGTGACATTTCAGAAATTATTCGAAATAAAAGAATAATTTTCAACTTTACGGGTACTTTACCTTCCTATCAAAGATGTATGGTCCATAATTTACACGACCCATGTTTTCAACCTGCAAATGTCAAGTTGTAGAAACAAAGATATGAAATAGATGTATGATAGAAACGGAAGAAGAAAAGAATAAAGCAAGAAACTTAAAAGACATTGTTGTTAGGTCTTGCAGAAGTTTGATACACTGCTAAGCATCTAACTTAATATGAATATGGATTAATAAACTTAATGATACCGCAAGTCAGCATATTCTCACTAATCTTATTGTAAATACTCTAAGAAGAAAGAAAGTGAGAATACAAATGAAGAGAGATCATAGTGAGAATTCAAATGAGAGAGATCATAAGTTCTATTTGAATTGATTGCTGAAACAATAAAGAACGATCTGCTTTATAGGCTGAGAATTACAAAAGTAAAGTGTAACTAGAGATCGTTTTCCTAACCTTTTATCTCATCAAAAAGCTTATCTTATCTTCTAAAGAGATAAGTCCTAATCATACAGTACAAGTAAATTATAAATAGAATTAAAATTTAAGATTAAACAAAAACTCCTTTTCTAATAGCTTTTAAATTACGAAAGGTTTCCACAGCTATCATTTAACATTCACAGATAATTGCCAATTTGCATAAACCACAAATGGTGATATGCTCGAAGCATGAGGAAAGTTGGTTACCAAAATAAATAAGCTGGTGTTGGAAACACATTTAGCATTGGGAAGATCAATTGCTTGATTTGACCATCTTTCAATTGTACCAACATATGATATTTGTCTACCATTAACTTCAGGGGAGCATGATATGAACACTTGAGCTCTGTCATGCACCTGCAAGCATCATATTTTATAGAAAATTAAATTTCTATGTATCATTTGTCAATATTGAAGCACCGAGGAAAGATAACTCGGTAACCTTTACAGAATGATAGGATGGCATACCTTTGGTATAACTAGCTTACTTCTGCCAGTTTTGGGTGCATATTCAGATACATATAATACAAATCCAAACATCTGGATGTTAGGAAAGACGAGAAAGTATTCAGCAATCTGGGATTTGTATTAAATTGCTAAACGCAGAAGCAAATGAGCAGTAAAGCTTGTAAATTTTGCACACCTGGTTTAAATACTCCATTGCAGTTGGATTTTCAGATTCAACAATGCGTGCAGAATCAATTTGATCAAGTAAATCAAATAAAAATGCCGTTCTTTTTAACTGGATGGATCCATATCCAGTCTTTTTATTATTGGAAGGAACTGGAGGTAGAGATACTGAACTATACTTCCCCACTACTCTCCTAATGGCTGAAATCACAATAGGTGAATGGAGTATGCTAATAGACAATCAGTTGCAAGAGAAAAAAGTTTGATTTTTTTTATCCCAACTATTAATTTGTACACAAGTATCAGAAACAGACCAGGAAACCCCGTGTAACTGCACAAAAACTAGGATAAAATGATCACGACACCAAAGACCAAACCACAGTCACAACAGAGTGCCGACTGTAAACTTTACAAGGGGAAACCAATAAATAGTTAACAGAAAAATTAAGGAAAAAAATGATAACAAGGCTTTTAGAGAACCTTTTCAATAATGTGAGATGAAATGCATTGAAGCATTCTGCCAGGCACAAATTTACTCATATTCTCTATGATAAACAATTGCCATTTAAATGATAATGTTTTAGACTTTTGCCAATTTCAAAAGATTGTAGCAATCACGCCATAATGTCCATCAACATGTGCATCAATTACTGAATGTATCAGTTCTTAAAACTGTAGTTATGTTGCAAGCTACAATATCTATATACACACACGGAGAGGTAAAATTACCATGAATATAAGCAATACCTATACAGAAAGTCGGTTCCCTCTAACACCAAATGAAAGGACCATGTCCAACTAAAGGAAATAGAAATCAAACAGGTAATCTGCTTCTGCCATTGGTCTAGTACATCTGCTTAAATCCTCTATCTCCTATCTAACTATCTGCCATATCACTCTGTATCTGCTAACTTTTTTTTTTGGATAAGCTCATCCACTTCTCATTGGAGACAAATTTTATCATGTTTGGTAACCAAAGTTGTCTGGAAGCTCATCAATATGTATAATATTGATTAGCATGCACAAATCAAACGTAGAAATTGATATTTGCATGGTAGTTTTACTTCCCAACAAAATCATGCAAAATTTCAAGATATTATCCTTCTGGTCTTGAAATATTCAGCCAGCTAAATTAGGATTATACCTTTGAATTTTGCATTTTGTACATCACCAGACTCCGTAATTGGTGCATCCTGGGGTTAAGTAAAATCATTTCAAAGCTTGAAAAGTATAAATTAAAATACTGAATACAAGAAGGAAAAACCATTCTCACATAATCATAGGACGTTAGATCAGGTTTGTAATCTGACTCATCCACGCCAGTATTTGCTCCATTATAAAATCCAAAGTTTGTTCCACCATGTGCCATCTGGAATTCAAAGGTCTATATCATAGCATGACCATACAGATCATAACTACACAGAAATAAAAGTAGGATGGAAGAACACACATAAAGCACCACAGAACCATTGTGTAACATAATTTTTTCCAAGGCAGCTGCAGTAAACTCTGCATCAGTTCTTGCCATCTTCTCACTCCAGTGTGTAAGCCAACCTGTATAAAATTCCCTGAAATAAATTCGGGTCAATACAAATTCAAGTCATCTGGATTTCAGAACATTCGAATTTAGGCCATTTGGGGTCTGACACTCGAGTTATTTCAATTCATGTCATTCAAATTGGTCATCTCAGGTAGAAGTCTTTAGTTTTAAAATCAAACAATTAGATCGTGAGTTAACTGGTTGAAGAAGTCATATTTCACCAATTATAATTAAGTTATTCAAAGTTACTTATAGTATATCTTCAATTTTGATTTTTTTTATATTATAAAAAGGCATTTATGCTACTTAATCATTAAAAATATTATTTATCATCTAATTATAATTTGCATAAATGAAATTTAGTTATATGAAGCAAAAAGAATACTTCATACTTTTTACTCCTAAAGATAATTCTCAAAGATAAAATATTAAGTCTGTTTATAATATTTAATCTTTGAGAATAATCTTTATGAGTAAAAAGTAAGAAAGATATTACGTCTTCTGCTGACACTAATCTTGGGTTCAATCCCCGGACAACCCCTCCCCCTATTCCCTTATCAGAAAAGTAAAAAATTAACACAAATAGACACTCACGAAGAAAGCGGTGGTGATTTCCCAGGCAAATTGAACTCCTTTTGTAACTTGAATATGGGCCAAGGGTTATCACCAGTAGTGAAGTCAACAGCTACAAATCAGAAACAGTTACTATTAACTTATAGTCAATTCTGTGTGCATGCATTATGCTCTGTGCTCAAGCTATTCTGATTTACCATTAGTGATACACTATACGAAAGCATAGATGAATATGAGAATATAAAACAATAGTTTTTGTTCTTTCTTTGTTTGGTGGGGGCCTGGGGGCATTAAAAATATCAAAGGGCTGAGAACATGATCCAAAAAGTGTTGAGGAATAGGAAGATTATTATTTGCTTCTTATGTTATAAGATGCTCTGTTAGTTTCCCAACTTTTCAAATAAGGACATGTTGATGTTGAACAGTACCTGCAAAGACACCATGTCCCCGAATGGTCCCTTTCTCAAGAGTTTCTCTAGAGCCTCCGTCAGTAGTGTACCTGAAACCATCATAACTCGTCCAGATAAGTAAAAAATAATCCCATCAGAATGCAATACTGTGCTTGAAGTCATTTGATTAAAGTATGATGCATCAATACTTCTAATTCTTAATAATGTCAAGAAGATAATGTAAAAAGGGAGGACCTGTAACAAAGTCCACTGTTGTTAATCCTAGATGAGCAATAAACAATATTTCTATAAATTACCACAGTAATGCAGACCTGCCTTTCAAGTACTAAGTACTACAGATAACAAACTTTAAATCAGAATAGTTTGAGAAGGCTCCATTAACAGTAAACAATGCCATTGTGGTTACGTACTTGCACGGTAGTGTCAAACATATGAATGTTCACAATGTGAAAGACATGGGACCAACTATAAAACCCAAAATTTTCATCTTTAAATTTCAGAAAATATTACTTCAACCTTCAATGAGTACATGCCGGATAACAGTCTGTAAAAGATACTGGTATAGTCCAATCTGTAATTTGGAACGGCCATCATGCATGTAAATATGAACTAACCAGTATTTTCTTCTGCACATTCAGTTAGCCTTTTTCTATGATGGAGTTTGCAGTAAACTTTTTATTTCCTGCCTATACACCTGATTAATTGACATTCCAATGGGCAAAATCTAAGAAATGCAGTACAATTTGATGGTTTATCAACAAAAACTCAAATCATGAAAGTTTGAATCTTTCCTGAAGAATTAGAGTTTACATGATAAACGGAAGATTATCTAGGGTGTAAGCAATGAAAGGGATTAAAGAAAATATCCTCTTACAAAATAATGTCTTCCCCAAGATGTTCTCTAGCTAACTTCACCAAGTGTCTAAGATAAGCTTTATCATCTCCATATGACCCAAATTCATTTTCAATCTGTACCAAAGTATAAAATCTCATTATAGTTGAAGATTACAGACATAAAATGTTGAAACTTCGGAGAATGACATTCAACAGTACAAATATATATATTATAAGGAAGGAATAGAATTATGTGTATAAAGGGAATGTTGTTTTTACTGTGTCGTACAAAGAAAAGAAAGGACAAGAAACATGTTAAACTAGCATTTCTTTCAGGCACACCATATAATCTTTCAAATGGTGAGCTACAAACTCAAATAGCAGGAGGGTTGATAACCCTCAGTTACCTATTTAGACTCCTACAGGGCTCATTTATTTGTTCCTTTTGAATCACTTTTCACTCTTAGCCCCAAAAAAGAAATCAAGTAAAATGATGTTTAAATATAGGCAAGTCTTTTGTCTTTTCCTTTGTTCAAGTATCTTCCTAGTTCCTGATTATCCCAGGTTTTTCTTCTTCTTTCATCAAAAGAGGGTCTTTTCCACAAGTGCCGTAGTTTGTAAACTTTGAACTCACATCAACCACCCAGTTGGCCTTAATTCAAGATAGGGTAAATTCAACAACATGAAGCAGCAGGAACAATTACCAGATGGAGAAATTTGTTTTAATAAAGAGGCATAAGCCTTTCTATCATTGCTTAAAAATCCTTGGAGATAAAACAGACTGGCAAACTAGTTTTACCGAAGGAATTCGACTAGCTAATAAAATATATTCTATGCCCGTACCTGAACCATTATGATAGGGCCTCCATTTCCATAAAGAAGAGGAGCTACTTTTGGAAGAAGGACCCCCCACCATCCTTCAACCTGTAATATCATATTGAAAAAATAATACAGCCAATACAAAATGTCAATTGATCCATCCTCCAAGAACATATATAAGTAAACAGAAACCATACAATATAACTCCGACGTAGAATTTGTGCTGAGCATGAAAACTATAACATTTAATCCAACATCTACGCCACATCCTTACTTAAACATAAGGACTATATGAGAGTACCTTTTGAAGATAAGCAGGATCTGATGACCTTAATCTGACATCTGGAGATATGGAAAGCAACCAAGGTGGGAACCCTCCAAGATCCCACTCTGCAAGAGACATATGTTCCCAAAAGGAAACCATGTCAGTATCGACACTAAATATTAAGACATCTATTGTCACAAGAACTGAGAGCCAGAAATTATCTAGTGTACATGCAATTATATCAGTGAGCACAATGTATTATCTCCTTTTTCTTCTTCTTCTTTTGCATACTCCTTTAATAACACTTGCAAATTGCAACAAGAGGGAAATTGTGTCGGATAAGAATACAAGAAAACAACAAGTTCTGAAGATCATCAAAATGAATGGGTTGCCCAGGGTACTATAAGTAATGCAATATTGAAGAAACAGATCAGAAACAAATGAGCTATAATAAATTGGCAATGACAGGGAAGCTTATCATTATAAGGTTAAAAATTTGAGTTCAAATCTATCCCTCGTTAATGTGAATATAAGAAGCAACCTACTGGGAAATATTATGGACCCATTCCTAATACATAAAGTAAATAGCTAAAAATTATACACACATGACAGAAAGACTAACCTCCACAAATATAAGGCCCAGCTCGAAGCATGACAAGGAGGCCTAGATTCTGGCAAAGTTTGAGAAATGATACTAAATCTGCAATGCCTTCAAAAACCAGTTTGCCAGCTTCTGGTTCATGCAAATTCCAAGGAATATAAGTTTGAATGGTATTCAACCCCAATGCTTTTGCTCTCAAAAGCCTATCTTCCCAGTACTGCATCCGTAAGATAGTAGGTTATCAATTGGATAAAAGAGCATCCAAGTCCCCACTTCTAACATAATCAGAACATATGTCATCTCCACAAAGTAACAGATCTCTACTATTCTTGTGTGTGTGTGTGTGTTTCCCTCCTTTTATACCACCTATATGCTGAAAACCTTTAGAACCTTTTCTACAACCTTCTCAAATCCACTTATCCCATTAAAACAACAACTGAAAGAATGAATAGGTTTAGAAGAGGCTAAGCGCGAACAGAGAGAACAAATACCTCAGGATGAACCCGAAAATAATGCAAGTCACCACCAATTATCTGAAAAGGCTTCCCGTCTTTCCAGAACATATCCTCCGCAATCTCAAATTTTGTAACATCAGTCTGACATACAATCACACAAAAAAAGAATACCATCAACATATAAACCCTAAAAACAAATAAGAAACAGCTACCGTGAAATTTTAAAAACAAATAATTTGATAACATCATTAATTCTTCTTTTTAAGGCAATAGAAATCAACTACTCAAATATCTAATTCCTTTTCCTTCTACACTCCACATTTCCCTTCTCAATTCAGCACAGAAAAGGAATATACATACAAAAGAGTAAATATAAATTTGAAAGCTACTTTAAAGTTTAAGCTAAAGCATAAATTTCCAGAAATTAACTTTGAATATTTACAAGATACTTTACTTTTTGGCGGCGGTGCTGACGCTGGTGACGAGGAAGAAGAAAGTGAACATCGTGGGAGTGAGAGTAAAGCGAAGGGAGAGAAGCGAAGACGGGAAGGAAAGAAACGAAAGCTAAAACGGAAAGCAAAACGAAGAAGATCATCGTCGTTTTTCTGCTTCGCTTTCTCGCCATTGTTGAAATTGATTTGGAGGTTGACTCCGTAGCAGCTAGGCGTTTACTTCGATTCATTACTTTGCCGCTGCTTTTACGCTTCAGTTACATAGTGCCGCGCTTTTCTTAATCGACTAAAGTTTAGTTTTTAATGGCATCGTATCAAAATAAAATTTAAATTAAATATTAAATACAATTTTATTAAAAAAATAAAATTTAAATATAAAAAAATATTTTAGATATTAAATATATAGTTTACCCTTATAAATATTGTATTTAATATATATTAATTGTAAAAATTGTTGTTTACAATTTACAAATGTCGGTAGATTGTCTAAACCCAGAATATGTGCCAATCTCAGACAGGTCATGTTTAAGGCTGTCGATGACACATAAAAAGTCTCATTCGCGGGTCACATGTCGTGCGAATCCAACCGCTTTAACAGCAGCTAAAGCTTCAACCGCCAAAGGATTTTCTTCTCGTTGAATCTTTGTTGGTGCCGTTACATTACTTGCATAGAGGATGGACCGAACACACCGTGATGTAATCGTCTTTTTTAAAAAAATAAATAAATATTAATATATACTTTACATATTTTTTTATATAATATTGTTAATCAATAATTTATTTATATTCTCATATAATTTTTTAAATAATTTTCTTTTAAAACTTTAAAACTTTATTCTTAACGTAAAATCTTACATTTGTCTGAGTGCGTATAACAATCCCAGCTCCACCACTCTAGCTAGATTCATCAGAGCGTCAAAATTTACTTAGAACATGTTAGCCGGTGATGCTTTCCAATGACAGTCTCTGGTTCGGTTGACAGCAAGGCGTTTGGGCAGCTTTGAACGCTTCCACTCAGTAACCTTCTTTTCCGCGCTGACAGTAGGCGTTTTCCTAGTTGGTGCCCTCGTGTCCGCTCTGATGCAAGAAAATAAGCGTTGAATGTTAGACAGGTCCTAATTTTTTTAAGAGAATATATTACTTATTTTGAATATATTTTTATTTTTATTTTAAATTTATACCGATTATTCATTACTCTATGATAAGTTAACTTAATATTCATATAATAGTATTAATGAACGAAAAATGTATAAACATTTGTTGTTTCTAAATTACAGAACTAAAACAATTTTACCATATATCATTTTTATGGTGCGAACAATGAAGCTATTGTTCTCAAGTATTTTTTAGGTTAATATCTTTATCTAAAAAAACAACAAAATAACATACATAAATATATTAAAGATTGTAGATTCAGACATGTCTTAATGAGTAATACTCTTCGAAATAAATATTTGAAGGTTATAATAAATTTAAACAAATTAAAGACTTGAGATTAATTTATGTATTATATAAAATAAGGGGGAAATCTTGGTTATGATATGGACGTGATATAAAGAAATTGGGCCAAGGGTCCACCTTCAAATTTTGAAAAGAAGACTGTAGAACACCAACTTAGAAATACTCAAAACTACAAACAAAGCCGCCACCTCCATCATTTTTTGTTTCTATCTTTTCCTGCTAACCCACTCATAACTTTGATAATTACCAACTTTTCTAACATGCATATGTGTAAATATATATATATATATGAATAAGATCCAATTATATATAATATATTTTTTTAAATTTTACATAGATATAAGATCGGTAAATGAATGAAAATAAATAATTAAGATTAACAATAAAAATGAGAATATATTCACTAAAAAATAAGAAATTAATCTTAATTCGTATAAAAATAAAATAAAATTTACATTATATAAATGGATCGTGGGTATATATATATATATATATATTGTTAATCAATATCAAGGGAGAAAGTCACCCACCAGACAAAAAGTAAGAAAAAACATAGACATTACACTTTTTTTTAAAAGGACACAGAGACAATACACATGGATTTAGGGGATTGTGCCTTTATCCCACCATGCAAAGCTCATGTCATGCCCATTCTATGAATACATTTCCTGCTATAATATCATTATTGTCCCAATAGGGGATTCTATGCGTGCAAATGACAAAACGTGACAGTCTTTTAGACTAATGGATGTTAGAAAAACCAATATATATAATAGTAAAAACGTCCCACTCCAACATGTATTATTAGTCTTTAATTTACTTTACACTATAGTCTGGATATCACTACCCTAAGCAACATAAATAGAGCCGCATAAAGAGTGAGAAGCGCTTTCGGCCTTCTTAAAATTTTTAGTTTATTGACACTTTAGATCATTTTCAATTTAAATTTAAGGTAAACTACACCCTTTTTTTTTTTCAAACTTTTGAGACTAAACATTTAAAGAATTTCTATTATTTTAAATTTAAATAAACATTTTTTTCACAATATTTAATCTTAATTTGATAAATTATCCATACCCAAACTACTATTTCCATATTGATACTCAATGTATAAAGAAAGGGAATATTAAGTACAATATAATTTTAGAAGGATGAACATGCCTGCCTTACACTGCAACACCTGAGATCAAGGACAAAAGTGGGGAATTTAGATTTTAGGTTAGTTTGTGTTTATTTAATTTTTTTTATTTTATTTTATGCTAAACCAGAATGAAATGAGCCATTACCACTATCAAAGTTAGCTTGTACATCTGTTTTATTTGGGATACATCGTCTCCCACACGCCCCTCTATTTTTTTAAAAAAAAAATTATTATTGTAAAGGTTCTCATCGCTGTTCTTATGATAGGCTAATCATGCCTTACTTTGATAACAATTCCATTCGATTACTCAATACTAGCGTCTAGCCATCCTCTATTGCGAAAGTTATTCAAGGACAAAAAACAAAGGCAAAAAGAAAAGGTTTTTCTTGGAATAACAAATAATGGCACAACCATGATTTCCCTTTCTTTACTATTATTAAACTTCTGGGTCATTATTATGGAACCTTTAGAGTCTTTTTGCTATAAAGTCATAGTGGAGAGACCATTTGAGGTTTTTTTTTTCTTCATAAAGACCATTTGAGTTTCAAATTTATAAATCAAAGAGCTAGTATATATCACTTTATTATTTGCACTCTAAGTTCATTAATAAATCAAATGAGACAATGTATCATGAAATGATAAAACCATAGGTTACCGAAATTATATTTTTATAGAAACCATCTCATGGATGGCTATTCTGGATCGTCTAAGAATATTTGGGAGCAGGTTCGTAGGAAATAAAACAGGGTTCATTGGCAGAAAATCACTTGGTTTCCCCTTCACATACCAAAACACAGCCTCATCTCATGGATGATTATTCTGGATCGTCTCCCCACCAAAGAAAGGCTGCTCAGGTTCGGCTTAATCACTAATGACCTGTGCATCTTCTGCTCTTAAGGTAGTGAGACTATAAACCATCTTTTTGCTGAATGCAAAATTTCTTCTTCAATCTGGAATTCCATTCTTCTGCTTTTAGGCATCAGTAAACCTCCATTCTCTTGGTCCAATCTTATGGTTTGGGCGACAGCGACATGAAATTCTTAAACTGTCGTGGTGTGCATTCATTTACACCATTTGAGAAGAAAGGAATCGTAGGACTTTCAGAGGCATTAGCAGATCAGAGGATGATATAGTTCAATCTATTAAGCAAACTATAGGTCTTTATCTAAGCAATAGATCTATCAATAGATTAGATAACACTAATTTATTTCTTTGTAATCAATGGGGTATAGCTTGATTTTGGTGTATAGGTTCCCCTTATTTTGTTCCTTTCATTGGATTGTTTTGTAGTAGGTTTCTGCTTTCTTGGATAATAAAACTTACCTATCTAAAAAAAAAATCCTTTTTTATTTTATATTGGTGAGGCCAAACCCTATAGGCAGAAAGGGGTCTTTTCCTCGAGATTGAATCCACCATTTGCACCCACACCAAGTGTCAGACAGAATCTTCCCCCCCCCCTAAAAAACCCTATATATATATATATATATATATATATATAATTAAGTAGCTAACTTGCCCAACTTTCACACTTATTTATCCGATCTTTAATTTCTATATCGAGAATCCAATGCGTTAATTAAACTGATATTATTTCTAACAAAAAATAAATTATCACTGTTATCAATATGCTCCATCTGAGAGTTGGACGGGTAGTTTAATCCTATATATACCAATAGAAAATTTATTTATCAAAATCGATACATGCATATATGAAAGAATGTTAATTGGTATTCATATTATTATTATTATTTATTAAGTTAGAGGTGATTAACAAAGTAACATAAGTTATAATTGCCCCCAATTATTTGATAATGAGTGCTCAATTATTTTTACAATCGTTGGTGTTCGAACTCGTAACCTCTAAGAACAACAATTTATTTAACCATTGCGGTAAGTTGATTCGTGTTGATATTCGTATTATTAGAATTGAGCAAATCAAATAGATATAATATATTATATATTTTTAACGATAATCAAAAGTGAGATCCAAGGAGTATTGGGGGATCACCACGGGTATGGATACGGCTAGTGGGAGCGTCGTGAGTTCACTTGTAGTGGAAAGTTTTGCTTTCACGTAAATATTAAAAATGCTAAATAAAAATATCCTAGTAAAATGTCAAATATATATATATATATAATATCATTAGTGAATCCATAAATTTAAGAATACGGGTCCAAAATTTTAATTTTCTTTTCTTAAAAATAATGTGTATGCAAAAATTGTAATTTTTTTTCCTTAACACATTAAGCTAAATTTAACTATTTTTCCAAAATAATAGAGATATACTTTGCCCCTAAGTGCATCCGCCACTGATATATATATATATATATATATATATATATATATATATATATATATATATATATTACAATAAATAACATGTGTTTGATTTTAAATTTAGATAAATATATATATATATAGTACAATTATAATTAAGTTTCGTATTATCATTTATAAAAATAATTAAATAAATAGCTAAAAGTTATATTAGAGATTTGAATTTATGACGATTTTTTTTATTTATTACCATTATATCTATGATTGTTTATTTTCTTAATGTTTACAAATATATTTTTAATATAATTTTTTATATCTTAAAATTTTAATTTATCAAAAAAGGTTGATTCAAGTGGTAAGTAGCTTAATACCACTTAAGTAGGTCTCGAGTTCGAGTTATTGTGTATGCAGAAAATTCCTACGGAGAGACTCACCCACCACAACCAGGTGTGTGACCCGGATCGGTTCGAATTAGTCAAGAATAAGCCTTGAGAAACATAAAGACAACAAAAATTAATTCAAAAACTATTTAAGAATATATATATATATATATATATATATATATATATCGTTATAAATAAATATTATTTACACACATACAAATATGACTCAAAAGATAATATATATCTATCTCCTTATTGTACATCAAATATATTTTTATAGTGTCAATCTAAATTTCAAATTTATATTTAGTAATAGGTCTTTTAATATTCTTCCCAAACCATTGTCAAGTAAAAGAGAAAACCCATGATTACATGTTGAAAATCATAATTGGCGTGGAGAAAATAATATACACAGGTTCTAGTTTGTCTTAAATTTAATCATGACAAATAAGATATAAACCCAACCTTTCTAATTATTAGAAATTTATTCTAAGATTTATTGTGCATGAACCCTAATCATAACTAGCCACCAATAATTCTATTAAGTTCTTGATTGTATTGTTTAATTAACACTAAGCCTATCATCGATAAAAATAAGAATTTAATAATAATAATAATAATTTATAAACTACATTTACATTAATTTCTTAGTTACACGTAAGGTACTTAAGAATTGAAAAAACACCTAATATATATGATTAAATTAGAAGACTAAACCCACTAATTCAATGTCTTATTTGTCATGAAGTTGCTTTTCTTTTCAATGGAAGATGGTTTCATATACTAAACATCAGTCACCCAATATTAACAATGTATAGGTATTTGTGTTATTTAAACAAAAAGGCCAAAATTTGTAACATTGGGCTACATTAAATATGAATATAAAGAACTGATATTATATATCAGTACCTTTAGAGGTCATTCCCTTTAGAAAGATTGCAGTAAATAGATTATAAAATTTAAGAAATGTTTGGAAGGAAGTTCAAATGAAAAAGAAGAAGAAAAAGTTACTATATTACCTAAAGCTGCCATGTTTTTTTAGACTGGTTTCGTTGTTCATGCGAAGTGTTGTTGATGCAGTAATTACTAGGACCACTGATGTTGAGAATATCGGCATGAGAGAGAGGTCTAAGACCCAAGAAATCTCTCGTCAAGCCTTCACTCTGCTGAGTGGTAGCGTTTGTCGTCATCGGTGTAGTTGTTTTCGAGAATGATTCGTCGATGGAACTCCCATCGATCTTCTTTGTGTTCAAGATGCCACCACCAAACGCAATGTCATCAAAGGAATTAGTGGCGTCAAATCCAGTGGCAGAAGACAAAGAATTAATCATGTCTTGGAGAAGGGAAAGAGTAGCACCTGAGTCAGCTTGATGATGATGATGGTCATCTCCGCCTGCCATGGCAGCAGCAGGTTTACAGTTCCCGAAAGGAGAAAAGCCATGGATAAATCCACCAGTACTACTATCCACCACATCCAGTTCTTGTTCACGTGAAGGCAAGTCGAATCCAAAACCAGCTGTTGTTGTGTTGTTGTTAGTGCCAGCAGAATCAGCAGACACGTGAGTTGGTTGGTGGGGTCTCCTCAATGAGCCAGCAACAGTAGCCGGTACTGTTGATGGCCCAATTTTACCGCTCATGATCGAACCCATATGAGCTGCTTTCTGAAGCAATGCAGTGGCTGACATGTGAGCAGAAGGCACTGTCGTCTCATGGTATGGAGGAGGGAGAGTAGGGACAAGACTAGGGTTAGGGCTGGGGTTCCCATAAAGTGTTAAATCTTGATGATCTAATCTAGGGGAGAATATTGACGGTGATGAGGAGGAAAGGTCAACATGATGCTGTGGGCCAGGACCAGCCCCGAGCATTGCTTGGCTAGCCAGCCATGGAGGAATCTCTGCCCTCAGAGGAGTGAAACTTTGCTGCTCTTTCTTAAGCGAAAATGACTGGATGTGGGACGAGGCTTGGCCTGATTGATGAGCAGAAAGAAGTGGATTGATTGCCCTTGCACTTTCCACTGCTAAAGCATCGCAGAAGGCTCTATGTGTGATGAAACTATCCCTCCTGGAGAAAAAAAGTTCAAAAAATAAACACAACAAAACAAAAACTAAATCAGTGATCATAGAGTGCTATGACAAAGGCAGAAATACTTTTTCTCTCCCTCTTTTCTACATCCCATTCAGTTTATTTTTTTTCTTTCACTGTGAGAGTATAGGACAAACTGTCCACTCTAGCTAGTGCAGAAAATACAATTTCCATGTTTATTCTCTATATATCTCTCTAGGGTGTGAAAACTAGGAACTGCTAAATGTATATATTGCTATTACTTTTTTGTTTCAAAGTTATACTCGAGTGCACGCCATAATAAATGAAGATTTGATGATTGTGTTCATGGGGGTAGAAGAAGGTAGTTATTTATTATACCTTGAGAAGAGGGTTCCACAATCACATCTATATTCCCTAGTGCCACAAGTCTTTGAGTGAGCTTTCCAATCCGATTGAACTGCATATTTCTTCGAACACTTTTCGCATTTCCACTTCTTCTCGCCGTGTTTCCTCGAGAAGTGCTTCTTGATTCCGGTCAAGTCTCCGAGCGCTCTCGACGGTTCATGGTGCACACAGTTTACTTCTGGACATACGTATACCTTCTTCCTCACCTCTTTGCTTGTTCTTTGCTTTAATTTCCATGGCAGATTATGCCCTCTTCTATGAAGCTGAAGGTTCTGGTCTCTTTGAAAGCCTTTGTTGCAGATCTCACACACGAATCTATTCGTTGCCATGAGGGTTTTAGGAGACAAGGCTATCACTTCTGCATCTGGGTCTGATTAAAAAAAAATCAAAACCCACCGAGAAAATGCGTAAACAAAAGTTTAAAAAGTTGAAAAATTATAAGGAAACAAACAAAACAAGTATAGTTAAAAAAAGGAATGTTAGGTTTGAAGCAAAAACCAAACCTGGGTTGCCTGGTAGGTTTCTCTTTCTCTTAACTGGCTGAGCTTGAGGTTGTTGAATGGTGAAGTTTCGTTGGGGATAACTGGAACCAGCTTCCATTCTACTGCCTGAGGAAACACTGGCTTCACCAGATGCAGAAGCCGAAGTCAAATTCGACATGTTCTCTTCCAAAACTTGTGTCTGTTGCTGTTGTTGGTGGAACAATAAGCCTTTCATCTTCTTCTATCCAGTGAACAAATGAACTAAACCACCAAAATTTGTATGATGCGCCATGGATCTTGGTTTTACATACAAAAAGAGTAGGGTACAAACAGAAATTCCAAAGATAAAAAACCAAAACTAGGTGATAAAAGAGAAAGGAATCGATACTTGAATAGCTAGGCTTAACATATCAATGAATATATACGAGAATCATCATATTGGATTCAGCACAGGAGACAATGTTTTTGTTTTTTTAGAAATACTCTCAGAAGAAACAAATAGAGTAAGTAATATTATAACTCATGCATATATATAGAGCTTAAGCGGATCCTCCATCTCTATCCACTGTTAAGCTTCATATTTTTTTGAATATAAATTAATCTAATAATAACCACACAAATTTTGAGACCGATCAGCTCATGAAACTCAGACGAAGAGAGAGAGAGATGTGGATGAGAAGAGTTCCCTCTTCAATCTTAAAGCTGTCCGAAAACAAGAACCCAAAACTACAAGCCAAAGGGGTGGGGAACCCTCTGATGTTGCGTTTTCTGTCTTTTTCCTCTTTTCCCTTCACACTCGCTTGAATAATTAATTATATATTCAATGCATGGTATATAAATTTACAGACTATAATCATTAATAAATTGATAAATAAATATAATTATCATATATTTTTCTTACTAAGAAGCAAAAGAAGAGACTAAATCAAGTAGAGAGAAAAAAATATATTGACATCACGATCATGGGGTAGTAAACCTTTTTCACATTTACAGTGAACTGATCGAACCATAAATATATGTAAGAGGTATGGCTAAAAGTAAAAGCTTATTGCCTTCTTACCTTTCATTTCTATTATATATATATATATATATTGAGAAAGACTTAGGTGCAATCTCTGACATTTTTTTGCATGCTACAACAATTTCTTATTTAGTAATAATAACCCCATAGGTGTTGAGGGTTACATATTATAAAAGTGTGGACCAAACTCTTCATTCCTAACTTAACTAGATTCTTAGGATTGAGACTTCAATTTTCTGAATGGAACTAATTAGGTGAAGTTTTTTCTCTAATGAAAATATTTTTTTTATTTTATTATTTACCATGATAAAAAAAAAACATCTACAGTAATAGTATATATTTGTTTTTCTATAAATGCATACAAATAAACAAAATAAGTTATTGAAAACCCAAATATTCTATTAAAAATAAATATTATTCAAACCAATGTTTTTCAAAAACCAATCTATGTATACGAATGAAGGAAAAACGTGGTTTTGGTTGTTCGTGCCTTCAATGATATTTCATATTTATACAATAATTAATTTAAAGCTTATTGGTGCTAATGTTTGATATTAGCTTAAATCAAGATAGTTTGTTTAAGTGTATTGGTCACTTATTTTGATTTGATTTATCAACAAACCAAGGACATTTTCCAGCCTAAAAGTAAAGTAAATTATTATGTTAATTGACTATTTAATATTTCATACGTTTCATTAAAATTATTTTCATTGATTTCGATCATAAAATTTAATAAAAAAAAGTAATTTTGTTAGGATAGAAGAAATGTTACGTTGATTTATTTTTCTAAAAAAACACTTTTTGCTAATAAGATTATAAGAATACTAACCCCTTGAATCATATGAACCGAGTGGATCGGGTACGAGTTGGATACTCTTAAATTTTTTAACTCTATAAATAGAAAAAAGAGGAACTCCACACTAAATGGTAGATGGCAGTGGCATATGCAGAAATTTAAGAATAAGGGTTTAAAATTTTAATTTTTTTCTTAAAAATAATAGGTATGTAAAATTTGTATTTTTTTCCTTAACACATTAAGTTAAATTTAACCATTTTTTCAAAATAATAGGATACGCTTAACCTTTATGGGGGCTTAGTGCATCCGCCACTTATAGATGGAGAAGGGTTTTCATAAATTTATTGGTATATTCTCGGTTCTTAATCCAAACTTTGGGGTATTTTTATCAGTCTCCAATGTGCGTGGAATATGGGAAAGAGGAGAATCATAGTCGAGTCCGATAGCTTACATGCTATTTCTCTACTTCGTGATAGAAAGAATAAAGGTGGTACGGTTGCTATATTGACTCATATTTACGCTGTTCTTGATCAGCAATGGGAGGTTCCTTTTCAACACACCCTTCCACCAGGTAATTGTGTAGCTGACTGCTTGGCTAGTAGTTTTGTAACTGATGCTCTGGATGTTCATTTGCTGCATTATCCCTCCAGACATAGTTAAAGAAGCTCTACGTAAGGATAATAGCTCTTCAAGGTGATGATTGTTTACTGTGCATTTTAGTATGCTTGATTTTCTTGTAAGCTTGCATTGTTTCTTGATCGTACTCTTATTATAGGATTAAGAGGGTTTTAAGGAGGCTCATGATAATAATCCCTTTTCAAACAAAATGACTGCGAATGACCATCGCACATGTTGTAAAGAATCCACAAGGCAAATCACCACCTTACACGTGGAAGATAAGTTTAATCATCTTCCGCTTCGATCAACGGTTGCGATATAAGGTCTATGTGGACAGGTGGATGATAAAATGCAGGACTGAGAAATTCCGAGGGAAATAAACAAATACTAATTAATTATTGTGACCGCACTTTCAAGGTGTGTTTTTCATGCATACCCGTGAAAGGGACAAACGGAGGACTCAGTTTGACCCACTAGTACACGTGGGCGATGATAATTGGAAGAAATTGACAGACCCGTACAGAGTGCGTGACTTAAAGACTTTCCCTCCCTCACTCTGAGTTCGTTGTCAAGCAGTAAAATTCCTTTCCCACCCTGTCTTACATAATTTAGCTCCCTTTTAATAATAAAATAAAATATAAATATTATCAATCGGGTCCCACTTTGACACTGACAATCTACGATTGGCAGTGCCACTTACCTTGGTGCCAAAATCACCCTACAAGAATACAATTTTTTTTCATTTCAACCACATGATAAATAAATATTTTTAATTAAATTCTTAATCTCAAAACATTAGAAAATTAAACCATATGGTAAAATATATATAAATATTTCTTTCTCATCAAATTCTCTATCTCAAAATATTATTGTAATTTGTAGAGCCATTGTTATCGGTTAGACAGTCCATTTGCGTTATAGATTTAACAACAATATTTTTCTAATACATTAGGTGAAAAAGAAAAAACCCAAAAATAAATAGTAATAATATAGTTTTCTTTATTAATTTATAGCAATTACAATGTGTAGTATATGTTTTAAATTTTTTTAATTATTTAACAATGAAAGTTTAAACATTTTTATAGTCATTATTATTCGAACTTAATACCTTTATATACCTTTATATGATGATTCTTTAAAATATAAAGTTGATAGAGAGAATTTATACAAATCTAATCAAACCATCTATCACCTTATTACTTTCGCGACGTGCATATCCAAATTGTAGATGCCATTCTCTTTTGAACAAATAAACTAAGCGTGGAACATTATGGCAGATATAGTCCATGAAGTACCTTATTCGATTAGATTCAAAACGTTGTTACTATCGATTAGGAGCGTTCATTTTTCGGTTTTAACCGAATTATCTGATTGAATCGAAATAATTTGATTAATTTGATCGGCCACCGAATTAGTTCAGTCGAAAAATGGTTAATATTTTTTTCAATATTTGTTTAACAGTTAATTCGGTTCGAAATCGGTTAATTAACGAAATTAACCAAAATTATTAAATATGAAATAATATATATATATATATTAAATACATATTGTTGAAACATTTTAATATTTCGATATAACAAATTAAGTTAAATGGATTTTAAGATTTTCCAAATGATTTTCTAAGTATATTCGATATAACTATTCGAATATCAAAACATTACTCCAAATATTTCAAAAATCATTTTTAATTCTTACTTAAGTGTAAAATTAAGTTTTAATCATAAAACAATTTCAAAATAATTTTACAAAGTATTTCGAACCAATTCAAAGCCAAAAATTCCAGATTGCTCAGAGGGAACCGATTCCCCCCCATAGGAGGAATCGATTCCCCCCTAAATGGTTTTGGCCCCGAGATTTCCAGAATGCTCGGAGGGAACCGATTCCCCCCATAGGAGGAACCGATTCCCCCTAAACAGTTTTGCTCCGAGAATTCCAGTATGCTCGGAGGGAACCGATCCCCCCCAAGGGGGTACCGATTCCCCCCTTGTACAACGGTCGAAATATTTGAATTTTACACTTAGGAACCGATTCCCTTCAAGGGGGAACCGATTCCCCCCACGCTCCAAGCTATTTTATTAAATGTTTTCACACTAAAATGGCAATAATATCTTCTCTAATCATCCCCAACGTTCAGAAGTGATTCAAGGTGTATTTAAGCAAGCTTAGAAGCCATTGATCAAAAACAAGAAACATCAAGCAACTAGAATCAAGAGAGAATCAAAGAGAAAGCATCAAACCTCAAGTTTGAGCATTTCAAGCCTATTTTCATTCAATATTCATTTTGCTTTCAAGAACACTTTTTGTGCTCAATTGTATTCATCTTTGAGTGTTCTTTTCTTTGTTATAGAATTGTGCAAACATCTTACCTTGTGAGGTTTTCTTGTAAGTTTGCAAATTTGTAATCTTCTCTTTGAGAAAAGAGTGTTCTTAAGAGTTGGGGTATACTCTTGAGGGAATTGTAAGGTTATCTCTTTGGCCTCAAAAGAAAGAACAAATTAGTGAATTTGTTGGAAAATCCTTAGTGTGGATAGCTAAGGTAGTGGACGTAGACTTTGTTTGAGAAAGTCGAACCACTGTAAATCGCTGTGCAATTACTTTCAATTTTCTGCAAAAGCTTCCACAAATTTTTTTATTGCCAATTCACCCCCCTCTTGGCAAATTTCGTCATTCGATTAACTCAACAATTGGCATCAGAGCCTAACTCATTTGAAGGTTTAATCGCCTCTTGAGTCGATCCAGGAAGAGTTACATCGATTACCAAGTCATCAATGGCCTCCACTTCAAATTACGACTCCGGTCTCGATTCGATGCCCGTCAACAAGCCTCCTTTCTTCAATGGAGCTAACTACGCCTATTGGAAGAATAAAATGATGTACTTCATTCAAGCAAGTGACATGGGAGCATGGAATGCCGTAGAAGAAGGATACATTAAGCCTATCACTCATCCAAGGTTGTGGAGTGAAGGAGATACAAAAATGTTCCAGCTCAACTCCAAAGCCATCCATATTATCTTTTGTGCTCTTGGACCAGATGAATACGGAAGAGTTTCATCGTGTACAACCACCAAAGAAATACGGGACAAGCTTCAAGTCACACGTGAAGGTACCGATGAGGTAAAGAAATCAAAAATTAGTATTCTAACGCATAGCTATGAAAATTTCAGGATGAAACCAAATGAAGACATCAAAGCTATGACGGATAGATTTTCAACGATTGTCAATGGTCTCAAATCATA